AAAGACTGCAGAGCCCCGGACCGTGTTGTGCGAGAGAAAATTTGAAAGAAAACCAAAACGATTTTCGAAAAAAAATGCTATTTTAACTAGTTTTCAAGGTCGCAGTAAGGTCGTGGTTTATGTGTGAGGGCACCTTAAAGTAAGTTATCAGTTACTCGTATAATGCGGAACTGGCGAAGGGAAATATTTTACTTAAGCAAGAAAATGTTTCGCGGGGATTTTAGGGTCATGCACGTGAAATATTAGTGAACACATTCATACAACCCTTTCAACTTACAGTGACCTCTCATACGAAACAGACTATACAAAACATTACCACAGTTAGGCAAACAAACGACGACACAACAGTTAGGCGAATACCAACCAAATACAACATAACACGGAGGATACAATATACCAGTGATAAACAGAAAACGATACACAGGTTACATATTATTAAGGCTTTTTCAATTAATGTAACATGGACAATTATAAGTATGTAAAAAATATCAGATTAATGAAGGAGGGGTTTCTAGAATTGCAGACACCGTTTATTCCTGCGTGATCGTAAGAGGCGAGAAAATGGTTCGAACAACTGGATTATATGCAGCTTATGGCTCCGGTAGGTTTTTATCCTGCTGGGCTTTGAGTTATAACACCTTAGGTTAGCCAAACTCATCTTTCCTGTTCCGGCGCCATAAATGACTAAATTGTGTTAGTGCGCCTGAATATAATATAATAATAATAATAATAATAATAATTATGATAATAAAAATAAAGAATCAGGGCTAAAGATAGTCACGCTCCGACTTAAAAGTGGTGTTCAATTCCCTACACTTTATACACATGCACTAGAATCAATTATACCAAAGGATCAAAACAAATTACACTTAGATGTACTATAGTTGCCACAAAGCACTAATATCGGCCTGGTGTGAATATAATTAAACGTTCAAGAGAAAGAATGAAAATTACAACATCTACAAAAAAAAACAAGAACCGTCTTAATCAGTATTCAATTTTCAATACATACAGCATTCTGATAAATTATCCCGATGGACCAGACAGAAAAATAACTAACAAAACTAAGATGATGAAGACGAAAATTATTAGCAATATAAAATAGAGAAAAACATGATCCATAAAGAAAGCCCTACACGGAAAACATGAAAATGTTGCAGGCTCGGTTTGATTGAGCCTGTTCAAGGACGGCAAATGGAAAAAATGCAAGTTTTCCCTCCAAAGCCCCCCTTTGCACCCGGGCCTAAGCAGAATTCCACATTTAAACACCCCAATTTAAAAACAAAAATATCTTCACTATTTGGGCTAAAATTTGCAAAGGGACATATCAAAAATCATTGATTTACATTGGGTTTCAAACCCCTTGATACTTTATCAAAGCATTATGTACTATATTTTGAGGCACATTCACAATTCATTATAACTGTACCATAAAAGTCAAATAGTGCTTTTGGGCAGAAGGGACCAAAATATTTCAATATCCAAAAATTAAAAAATAAAAAATTATTTATATTAGAAACTTTTTTTGAATACATAATATCTTTCAATATTAAAATCATAGAACTGTACATGTACCACATGTGGGCAGTGTAAACTATATTAAAGGAACTCTACTAATGGCAGACAGCCTAAAGACATAAAATTTTAAAATTCTTACATAGAGCAAGTGGAGTTCTTTAAATGGAAAAATATGCAAAGGATAATGAATAAATACACTCAAAATTAAAGAAGTTTTTTGTGCGAATCCTAACCCAAGTTGAGTGAAAGCGTTGCAATGCTTTTCATATTTGTGTCATTTTGGACAATAAAAATGATTATTTGAGGGATATGAAAATTTGCACACAAGTTACTGGTCCAGACCTTCATGTATATATCAAATGTACCTAAATCTCGGGCCAGTCATGTAAAAAAAAACTTTAGAGTCCCTTTAATGATACACTGCCGAGTGCCGACTGTCGCATGTTTCTCCTTTAAACAGTCAAGATAAAATTTTACATTGTCATATCTTCTGCTATCTAAAAATAGCATAAGTTTGTGTATTTTATTGCTGGTCACTGTATTTACAAACTAGCACAGGCACGTGTGAATGATGAACAATATAGTCGCTAACACTGCCCAGTATGGTTCGTCTGACCACGCCCATTCCCCGACTCCCGGTTACAATGATGTCAATATTGTGATCTTTGGCGGCCAGTACTATAGATTCGCCAGCAGGCTCGTGTAGGCGCTCAACTGAGTATTTCACCTGTATCAAGAATAAAAAACAACAACACGTGGTTAAAAATGATAAAAAAAAACCATCAAACAAAGAAAAACAACAAACAAAAAATAACAAACAAACAACAACAATACACATCTAGATATAATTATAAGATGGCCTTGTATACGTATGTAACTTTGATGCGCGGGAATTTTAATTTAAATACTAGTATAGGGCTACTCCTTCAAGTGCTAATGATATAGTTAAATGGGACATTTAACGACTTGTAGCACTTGACACGATACATAAACTGAGTGTTGTTTAAAATGTTGATAGTGTAGTAGTCACGGACCTTAATTAGTACGAGATAGGTTGAGTACGTTAGTATATGTTTCATAACCTTTGATTGGCTGTAACCCTTGACGGCGAAGGGCACAAACTTGACAAAGGGCCGATTCTGGGTGATTCATCTAGAAGCAACCATTGGTGATACTAATCCGTTCATAAGCGAGACATATTAGTTCATCCAGATCTAATATACAAACATCTAGATAGATAAGTTATTTAATTTAAATTTGCAAGGTTCTACAATTGACTGGAAGGCTGCGTTCCATATGAACGTTGCTCTCTCCCTTTTTACGCTCACATATTTTTTACATACGTACATGCGATACAATACCAATAAGTTAAAATGTGTGTACATAGCTAGATGTTAGCAATCTATCGATCTATGAACAAAAACAATAAGGACCCTTACAATACATTTACGGACCGTTATAATAAATTATAAATAAAAATGTCTTACTACATGTACTGTTACAAGACAATATTTTTTTATATTTTGTAACGTTCGAAGCGTAGCAAAAAAAAAACAGCCATGGAAAAAATTAATAAAGGGTAAAGCCGCATTTAGATTATCCAGTCGATTACCAAAAGTCATTATCCCGAAGTTTGACTGAATTACAAAGTTGCGATTTTAGTAAATGATGGAGTTGCCTTACATTATATTGTTTGACGGTGTCATCAATGTTCTTCAAGACTTTCTGTACTTCCTCGTCATGTTCGGCTATCATGATGGGAACCACTCCAGGGTTTGTAAGCTGGGCAATGGCTGGCAATAATAATAATGATAAGATAAAATAAACCAGCGTTTTATTATTCAACATTATCGTAAAAATCTCGTTTTATAAACATTCAAACGGAACTTAACGTCTCATTACACTTGAAGAGACAAGAAAATTAAAATTATAATTTTACGAATTTATCTCTTTGAGGAGGATATCATAATGCCGGTCAAATGTGATTAAATGAAATTTTAACTTCTTCTAACTTACGAGGCAGATTCGCTCCTAACTCAGCGCAGTAAACAATAATCAAAGTATCACCATCCTTGTAGAAATGCTCCATAAACCCTGAAAAAGTACAAGATTCCTTAAAGTTGCAATTAGTTCATTAATTTGTTTTACATGTATGTTATACAACATTCAATTTGTGACAACTATATGTAGCAACCGTAAATACGACAACTATTTTGAGCATATTTTGTTTATCATTGAGTATTATTTACGTATTTTGTACAATGTTATAATTTATATCACAAACTCCTATATTTGCGCAGTCATTTAATTTGTCGCCTGTCAGTGTAATATGTGGCATTTGTCATAAATAAATTATGAATTTAAATGCATTTTTTACATTTAGTCTCGCCAATTTGCAGTTTCAATAATAAAAATAAGACAAACGCAAATTGGGCAGAAATGTTTAACCAGCGAATGACTGATGCACAGACTTTAATTGACAATTTTGTCAATTAAAGTCCGTGGCTGATGGGAAGCATTATAAAGTTTTATTTAAATGAAAAAATATATAAAGTATGCCTCGTAGATAGCTACTTATATTACTGAATGAAATAAGTGAACAGTAACTTACAAACGAATGCATTAGTTGCGTGTTTGCTTCCGTCCATAGCAATCAAATTCTTCGACTGTTTGTAGTAACTTCTGCCATTTTTTTCCCTCTCTCTCGATATTTGTGTTATAATTATATTAATTTAAGTATTATTACTATATAAAAACCAAAATCTTCTTAAGGCTACTTTTCCTTAATATCGCGTTTATTTTAATAAACACTTCATAATTATTTTAACAACAGTGACACTTAAATATATCATACTGCTGCTTTTGCGTTCGGAAAACTCCGCTGAGTGCCGAGTTACCATCATCATTGCCCAAGTTTGACGAAAAGAGCCGAAAAGTCGCGATTGGCTGACTGATAAACTGATACTTTGGACTTGTTTATATGACACAAAACAAATAAATGGTTAAAGTCCTATGTACAAAATACTATTATATTAATATAAAAACTGTTGCTGTTAAGTTGATTTAGGACGACAGTGTTGAAAACATACATATATACACCACTTAATTAGTGTTCAGTAATAATTTACGGTCAAGCGATCACTGAACCTTTGAAAGAACTTGAATTACTAATGATATATCACTTTAAGTACTATGAAAGAGTGGATAGTCTAAAGAAGTAACAAGTTTAAATCTTTAAAGATACCACATGAAATATATAAATATTCCCCACGCCAAAAAAAAGAGAAGTATCATTGAAACAATAAATAAATAAACAAATGAATAGATAATAATAATAACAATAATAATGATAATAATAATAATAATAATAATAATGATGATAATAATAATGATAATAATAATGATAATAATAATTTTAATAATAATAATAATAATGATGATAATGATAATAATAATAAATAATAGTGATAATAATAATGATAATAATAATAATAATAATAATAATGATAGTAATAATAGTAATGATAATAATAATGATAATAATAATAGTAATGATAATAATAATGATAATAATAATGATAATAATAATAATAATAATAATAATAATAATAATAATAATAATATTAATAATTATAATAATAATAATAATAGTAATAAAATGATAATAATAACAACAACAATGACAACAAAAACTGTCAGTGATCGCCGTGGCGAAGATATAACTAAGTCAGAAATACTTTACAACTTACGAAAGAAGTAGATAATTCCTTTACAATGATATTGCATGTTATTTCTTTATGTATATACTCTTTACAGCGTAATTTAGCGTTATAATGGCTTTAAGGATTATCTGTCCCTTAAATAATGCAATGAACAAATATCTATTCTAATACATGTATTTCTTTTTCGGAATTTGACGGAAAAACAGCGATTAATCATCTATTGAACAACAAGGTCAGATTAAATATAACAATATATATTATACGTATGTTTATTTAAAGCTATACACCAGGTCAATCACGTCTATCTTGATATTAAATATAATAAAGATAAACTTACACTCATAGTGATACATGTATAAACATAATATGAAATCATGATTTTAAACTTTTTTGTGTTACACTTACTTATGTAATATTGTTAATTAATTTTTTCAAATTCTGACTGGCTTAATCACCGTTTTTTTTTTGCCATGCCAGCTTCCCTGATTCATGTGATCTGGTTCGTGTGTTCTGGTCTAGAAAAATCCACACTTAGAGCTAAATCAGGATAATCATATGTTATTGCTATAAACTCTGTACATATAACATAAAAAAGTACATTAAATACAAAACAAAATACAAACTATACAGAAAAGAAAGTACGAGTATGGTTGACTCACAAGATTAACCAACATATAAAAAAAGCAGATTGAAGCAAATTTGGTTTCAAAATTTCCACATTAAAAAAAGGATATCGTTAAAAATGACTTCAAAATACACACAAAAAAAAAATTTTTTGCGTAAGTAAAGTATAAAAGCAAAAAAAAGAAAAAATATAAAATTTAAGCATCAGAGAGAAAAAAAACTTCGTTTTTTTAGAAAAAAAACAAGTAATGTTTTAATTTTTTTTATAAAAAAGGGTTTAAAAGAAAAGATAAGCAAAAAAAATGTGAGAATGTAACAAATTAAAAAATATATACAACTGAATATCTTTTAATGATTTTTTGAATATAACTCTCATTTTTAAACCACTTATGATAGGATCTTTGTAATTAGTTTTGTTTTACAAAGACCGAATTCGTTGCTACGTTTTATAAACGTTAACATCCGTCAGATTTTTTTTCTCTTTTTTTTTTATCTCAAAACCATTAAAACATACTTAAAATTTACAGTTAACATAAATCATATAAAATAAGCTTGTGATATCATTTTATGAAATTAAAGTTTTCTTTATAAATTCTTGGATACCTCAAGGGAGGACACACTTGATGTATACCTAAAACAAGCTATACAACATGAAATTCACAAATCAAAATATAAAGGGTTAGTTTAATGGTTACATATATTTTTTCATATATTTCAGCAACGTCATACCGCAATAAATCACGTCTGCAATATGAATTTTACCTTCCAGGTATAAAATAATTATGTCAGATACATAATTATCGTCATTAGTTTTCAATGTTTTATTTTTAGTTTAAAACCCAGTAACAGTAATAGGTTACTGATGTTATATTGTTATCTTATTGAAACATAATCACTGTTTCTCGGAATCATTTGTCATCATCTTAATCATAGATTTCTGCACTAATCTCATAGTTTGATTTAGGGTCACCCCTCCATCTATACACTGGTATCCTCCTTTCTTGGACTTTATGTTCACGTCATTCGTATCCTTCAATTTATCTTGATCTACTGGGGCAGGCCCAAAATCGATGGTACCAAGAACGCTAGAGAGGTCGACCTTTCTTGGAGTCGTTGGTGTCTCTGTCTGAAGATTTGCAAGCGTTTCTGTTGCCATAGTAATCTTAGATTTTTCAACCTGTGCTGTCTCATGCCTATTCGTATACTTCAATTTATTTTCATCTACTGGGGCAGGCCCAAAATCGATTGTACCGAGAACGCTAGAGAGGTCGACCTTTCTTGGAGCCGTTGGTGTATCTGTCTGAAGCTTTGCAAGCGATTCTGTTGCCATAGTAATTTTAGATTTCAAATTACATTCTTCAACCTGTGCTGTCTCATCTTTATTCTGACTTTCATCTGACACTTTAGCTTGTCTCATTTTATGTGTTGTAGTTTTGTAAAGAGTTTTAACAGCATCAAATCCCATTGTTGAGATGTCCATAGCCGTTGCGGAACTTTTTGCCGTTGCTAAGCCGCATTGATTTAACGTCAATTGTTTTGTAGTTTCTCCACGTTGTTGCCATCTTGTATGAAGTAAATTTGTAACTTCGTCTTCGTTTATAATTCTCTTGCTTGCTTTAAGCTCAACTATTTCCTTATCCACTTCTTCTTCAAATTTTTTCAACGACATTTCTTCTTTTGCCCCATAAATTATTATTTTAACCAGACAGTTTGCTTCCTCAAGTGGTATATATTGACCACCGGTTATATGTGCCACTGCCAGATAAAAATCCTTATATGCTTTTATACTTGGCTCACACCCAGCAACGTAAATTCCAATTCCTTTGGCAGCTAATGCTCTTGCAATCTCCATTGGGTCTAAACCAAGTGGGCAACCCTCAGGGAACTTATCTCGAAAGGCACCAAGACCGTGTGGTGGTGCATCCGTAATGAATACACATATTTTAGTTGCTTCTTCGCGCCAGGATAGCTTCAACAAATCGTTCATTGCGTCGGCAACAGCTTCAGGTATATCACCGCCGCCACCAGCGTAACAGTCTCGCAGCCATTTCTTCATAGTTCCGACTGACTCAGTAAAATCATGTACTCGGGTAACAAAAGATTCTTCTACCGGTGGATGGTCACGGTATTCTATTAGAGCAAGATGCACGTCACAGTTCTCACTTTCAACAATTTCATTTACGATCTGTACAATATTGTCCCTAGCCTCTGTTATGTAAGGATCCATACTTGAAGTACAATCTATTACAAACGCTAAATCTAATTTTGCCTCTCCTTTTTTAGCCAACTTAGTTGGATGAAATGTTGCCATTTTATTTCTTCTCTAGATAAATCACAACAATCGAATGAAATTATCACGCCTTGAAAACGTTTCGTAAAGTATGTGTGAAGTTAATCTCCAACTACTATACTAAATACATGTATATTACTATTATTCCAGGTACTGCTCGTTTTAATTTACTTCCGTGTTGATACCCGACATATCATAAACTATTTAAACAATGTGTCTTCTATATCGACTTAATTACTGATTAGTCGGCCTTAGTTTAAGGTAACATTTCTTCAATCCTTGTGCATAACTAAGATAAAATTAGTTCAAACAATGGATAGTTTGAAAATAATATATTGATTGGATAAAAAGTATAATTATTGAATTCTGTAACGTTAAATGTATAATTTGACTACCGTAACGACACACAAGGTTAGCTTTTAAAAAAGCTAGTAGCGACTCGCTTCGTAATTTTTTTCAAGGGGTGTGTTTAAATGTAAAAATGACAGTTCTGTTAGCTGAAGAGACTTCAGCGAACATCAAAGTAAAAGTGAAGTCAACACTGGCCCGGTGCCCGATGGCCAGTGTATATAAGTTCAGGCCAATGTAAATTTAAGAAAATTTTGTTAATTATTTAGTAGAATAAATTCAAAACTGGAATTCGGGCCAGTAAATTCAAAATCTTAAACTCATTGACTGAAAGTTCTCTGAGTTCTCTCAGTTAAACCAAGATGAGTATGAGTATATATGAAGGTGCATGTAAACAGATTGAATGAAGAACCTATGTCTATGCACATTTACTATATGGCCTGTTGACCTTGACCACAAAATGTTAGATAGGTAGATTTCATAAAGATGTCTCTTTATACAAAATTAAGTTGTAATACATGTATGTTATTTAGTATTGGAATGAGAGGCACAAGTCCTAAAGTAAACACAAGTTGTCAATCAATTCAGCCAGAAAAGCCGGGATCCTATTAAAAAATATAGGGATCCCGGAAATTGACCAGTCTAAGAAGATGTTTTTCAGATAAGCCGGGATCCTATTAAAACATATAGGGATCCCGGGAATTGACCAGTTCAAGAATATAGTTTTCAGAAAGGCCGGGATCGTATTAAAATGTAAATAGATCTCACGGATTGGCCAGTTCAAGTATATAGTTTTCAGAAAAGCTTGGATCGTTTTAAAACATATTGGGATCCCGGGATTTGACCAATTCAAGAAAATAGTCTTTGATTTTTCCAATTAATTAGGCATATAATTATAAGTATTGTGATTTCCGCATTTTAAGTTTGTTAATCAATAGCTCTAAATATATCTATATTCTAAGTTAAATTAATTTAACGTTCATTATATACAATAAAAAAAATAACGTTTAATGGCCTTTCATTACGACAACAATCAACACAAATATAGTTCATTAGGTTTTTCCTCCATATCTTATACGATCCCGGATCCCGGGCGTCCCGGATCCCGGCCAGTAAATACATACACTAAATACCGGAAAGGATAAAATGACCGGAAAAAAGGAAAAATAAAAAATGCACAGAAGCAGATGTACACTTATGTTAATTAACCAAACGAAAACTTACTACAGAGAAAACAGGTGAAATCGCTAAATCAGAAGTCAGTGTAAATATGATTTATTGAAAAGACAAACATTTTCATCATCATTATATCTTTGCGCTCAAAACAATACTTGCTGAATTTTAAAAATGGCGTGAAAATTGAAGGTTTTTTGACGCTATGTAAGATTAAATTTGATTGGTTAAATAATTTTGGATCCTAGCCCTGATAGATAAATTTTGTAGAAAGCTGGAAGCCAAGCTTCGATTAAATTTTTGGATAGCTTCGGAGTTTTAGGTTGTTTCTCAGTAAAATCCTACCGTAATACCGGCTCGCCGTGGCGAGCCGGCATTACTGCACCTTCAGAACTATTTTTTTCATATGTTAAGTATCTAACATTTTCTTAAACCATTATTAAATCATTATTAAACACATACTTTGAATTAGAAATATGCATATTTGAGGCATAATGTATCTTTAATTAAGGATATGATTTTATAAATATTTACACATGTTTAAAGATTAATAAGTTTTTAGTTTGTCATTGTACAATGTATATAAATAATACACCCAAGTTTCATAAGGTTTTATTACACAAATATAGCATGTTTATGGCAATGTTAAATTTATTGTTAACATGTTACTAATTTATTGTGTCGTCTTAAAGGATAAAACATGACGCTTTTTACAATCTTCACTTTATTTCTTATTTCTATTTCTACATTTTAACGCATTGCGTTGCATTAAGGTAAATGTCTTCATCGCACAAAAATTTCCATGTTATGGTAACATTTTCGACTAATTAATCACAAAGAAGTTTAAACACCCTAGAATTCCACAAGATAAACTCTGATAATATGGTTATTACTTACAATTCAAACAAAGTAAGAACAATTTCAATGGTTTTAGGTTCTGTTTATTTGTATTAAGGATTTAATTTACATGTATTTAAATATTGTTATTGGTATAACATTGTATTTATTTCAATTTTACAAGTACTTTTAACTTTGTTTTAGCAAAGGAAATATTTAAGTGCTCAAAAATTGTTTACTTGTTATCTGATGATCAGATTAGTACTTATTAACAAAAACTAACATTTGTTGAATTCTAACATGAAAAAGTACAAAAGCCCATCACAATCAGCACCGTCATAATACCTACAATAACAACAAAATATGAGAACAAAAATCGGTCAAGGTAGGGCAGTATTCCCAACAAAGTCAATACATTAAGGACCACTAACTAGGAAGTCAGCAGGTCATCGAACAAAAATAGAAAAAGGCACAAGGGTGAAGGACGGGTAGTTCAGGACCCTTCAGTAAAGGAAATCATAGAAAATCAATAAATGCATTATAGAAGATAATTAAACAAAAAAGTTTGGCATAGCGGGAAAGGGACCGGTGGGCTAGGGAGACTTCAGTTGCTTAGTAACATATTTATTTCGTTCAAAAACATAGCATTGAATTGTCAGTTAATGAATTGCCATAGGGGTCTTTCAATAAAATAGGGTTATTATTAAATAGAAATAAAAAACATTAGTTGTTGTTGTTGTTGTAGTAGTTTATGTGACTGTTCAGCTGTTCACAAGTTGTCATCGTAAATATTTCTCTTACGTAGCAACAGTTCAGCATTTGGATCCTATCAACCAGTACGTCATTTCACTTCCTTTACCCTGAAATATTGAAATAATATTCATACGTTTGATTTAAGTTTGTCATAGAATTTAGGTATAGACCAAACTCTTGATTCGTGATCAAAAGGAAATAACTCACGTACCATGAATAAAAGACAGTTAGAGTTATGCCCCTGGCTTTGTTTTCTTTTTTAATTTTGACCAGTCCCCGTCCCCGACCCTAAAGTCCCCTTCCCCTTCACCCCTTTACTTTTGTTGGCCTATTTATTAATCAATAAATCGTCTTCTTTAATTTCCTTGTCGGTTTCTATTATTATCATGTATTACAACAGTAATCATCCCGGGCGTGCTTTGCCTCGTGCCTCTGTCCTGTTTTTGTTTGATGTTCTGCTGGGCTCTTTGTCGCTAGTCCTGTGTTGTGTTGACTGAACACCGCCCATCATTGATCTTGTTTTTCTTCTCTTATTATGCTCCCCGAAAAATTTCGGGGGAGCATATAGTCGTCGGGTTGTCCGTCAGTCCGTCAGTCCGTTCGTACGTCCCAATTTGTGTCCAGCCCATAACTTAGTTATTTGAAGTCGGATTTTAAAACTATTTCACAGAAATGATCACCATATTGAGACGACGTGTCGCGCGCAACATTTGGGTCGCTACCTTGAAGGTCAAGGTCACAGCATGACCTTGCATCAAAATCGTGTCCGGTCCATAACTTCTTTATTTGAAGTCAGATTTTAAAACTATTTCACAGAAATGATCACCATATTGAGACGACGTGTCGCGCGCAACATTTGGGTCGCTACCTTGAAGGTCAAGGTCACAGCATGACCTTGCAGCAAAATCGTGTCCGGCCCATAACTTCGTTATTTGAAGTCGGATTTTAAAACTATTTCACAGAAATGATCACCATATTGAGACGACGTGTCGCGCCCAACATTTGGGTCGCTACCTTGAAGGTCAAGGTCACAGCATGACCTTGCAGCAAAATCCTGTCCAGCCCATAACTTCGTTATTTGAAGTCAGATTTTAAAACTATTTCACAGAAATGATCACCATATTAAGACTTCGTGTCGCACGCAACATTTGGGTCGCTACTTTGAAGGTCAAGGTCACAGCATGACCTTGCAGCAAAATCATGTCCAGCCCATAACTTCGTTATTTGAAGTCGGATTTTAAAACTATTTCACAGAAATGATCACCATATTAAGACAACGTGTCGCGCCCAACATTTGGGTCGCTACTTTGAAGGTCAAGGTCACAGCATGACCTTGCAGCAAAATCTTGTCCGGCCCATAACGTCGTTATTTGAAGGCAGATTTTAAAAATATTTTACAGAAATGATCACAATATTGAGATGACATGTCGCGTGCAACATTTGGGTCGCTATCTTGAAGGTCAAGGTCACAGCATGACCTTGCAGCAAAATTGCTCTCGGCCAGTAACTTCGTTCCTTGAAGTCGGAATTAACAACTATTTCACAGGGATGATCACCATATTCGACGTGTCACATGCAACATTTGGGGCGCTACCTTGAAGGTCAAGGTCACAGCATGTCCTTGCAGCAAAATCGTGTCTAGCCCATAACTTCCTTATTTGAAGTCTGATTTTACAACTATTTCACAGAAATGATCACCATATTGAGACAATGTGTCGTGCACAACATTTGGGTTGTTTTTACACTTTGAACTTTGTCTGTGACATAACTCTGACACTACAAGAGGTATACCTTCCTGTGTCCAAAACCTATTCGGGGAGCATCACCCGGTTCAACCGGCTCTTGTTTTATTAGTGACAGTTGTAGCGAGTTACCGTCAATTTGCCGCTCCTCTATATCCTTTTAGCTGTTAAAATCTTTGTTATTAGCGTCTTGGTGTCCGGCAGAGATAGATGAAAAGCATGATGTTCCATAAATAATATACTATTCAGATAAGTGTCTACGGCAATGTTGTGATATCAGTCAACCCCACCCTTCTACTTGCATATTTTATCATAATAAAATGATTGCAAAATTGGTATATTTTGATACAATTTATGACAAAAAGGATTTCCATATAAAATAACTAAATTAAATAATAATTGAATTCCGACAGCTTGTTATGGTTTATATAGATAATATGTGTCCGCCAGCTTAGCTCAATAAGCTCAATTAAGAAAGCACCGGACAAGACAAAAGTTCCTCATTGAGTAAGGACATAGGACATTGTGTCTGAAAGTCATTATTTGCCTCTCATCCATGATTCGATTAGAAATAATGTGGAATTAGTAGTACAATCTGGAAGAAGGGTGATTTAAGTCACTTCTGGAGAAATTTGTAATAGCTGGTAAGTTATCCGGGAAATTCATGATATGGACAAAAATGTGTTAAAATAGGCTTGAAAATCAAACAAACAATTAAATGATGTGTGATGCATTGTTAAATCACGTTTAAAAAGACAATTTCATGATGAATACTTAAGTTCTGAGTATCTTAGCAACATATATGTCATACAGTGAATCTTATCTGTATTTTTATTTTAATGGTCATAGAAATCATTTTATAGGTTAGTAAGATTTCCTTCCTTATATGGTAGCAATGGTAGCACATGCGGTTTAATACTCATTCTAATCCAATAAACGCTTTGTTACTTTACAATAATTCTTTATTATGGCTAATAACATGCGTTTCTCGAACCATTACTTATTTTCGCGTGATTAACTTTAACCTACCTTTATTTCTATTGATCCCCTCACTTCAGTTTGAAATTTGTTACAAAGGTCGAGAGCTGTCTTGGCGCTCTGGCTTAGATGAATCTTCATTGCTAAAATAAATATTAAAAGAGGAAACATGTTTAAGAAAAAGAACGAAATTCTCTCGAACCACCTTAAATCATTCCTCTTTTGTTTTTAACAATTAAAGGTACTCTTTTCTTGATCAAATATCAATAGGATGAAGTAAATGAAAAAATACCGCCAAAGTTTTTTTTTTTGTCAAAACGAAGACGTCGTCGTTTATCATCAATTTACAAATATTGCCGAACTTCAAACATGTTTGAACATACCTGTAGATGAATTATATAACTATCATAAGCATAACTGCATTTTTAGCTCGACTATTCGATAAGAATAAGTAGAGCTATTGTAGTCACCCGAGCGTCGGCGTCGGCACTTATGTTAAAGTTTTTGTAATAGTTCAAATATTTTCAAAGTCCATTGACATATGGCTTTGAAACTTTGCACACTTGTTCACCATCATGACCCCAACCTGTAGACAGGAGGAGGTAACTCTATCAAGCATTTTGACAGAATTATGCCCCTTTTTCGACTTAGAATTTACATTAAAGTTTTTGTAATAGTTCAAATATTTTCAAAGTCCATTGACATATGGCTTTGAAACTTTGCACACTTATTCACCATCATGACCCCAACCTTTAGACAGGAGGAGGTAACTCTATCAAGCATTTTGACAGAATTATGCCCCTTTTTCGACTTAGAATTTACGTTAAAGTTTTTGTAATAGTTCAAATATTTTCAAAGTCCATTGTTATATGGCTTTGAAACTTTGCACACTTGTTCACCATCATGACCAAACCTGTAGACAGGAGGAGATAACTCTATCAAGCATTTTGACAGAATTATGCCCATTTTTCGACTTAGAATTTACGTTAAAGTTTTTGTAATAGTTCAAATATTTTCAAAGTCCATTGACATATGGCTTTGAAACTTTGCACACTTGTTCACCATCATGACCCCAACCTGTAAACAGGAGGAGGTAACTCTATCAAGCATTTTTTTTTACTATCAAGCACTAAGAATAGTCGAGCGTTGTTATCCTACCGACATCTCTTGTTGATATATATACAAGTTAAACAAATGGCGTACGCGGCATAGTAGTTAAGGTAGTTTGCCGTGAGTTCGAGTCCCACAAGATAATATGGAATCTTTCATGGAGGAAGCTATCCAGCTAGTTTATGGAACGTCGGTGCCCGTTCGTACGGAATTGAACTGAGGAATTCTCCTCTGACATGACCTTATTGCAACAAAAGAAAAATATATCTACAACATTTGTTTGAGCCGGAGTTAAATATTCCTCACTCAACATGCATCCATTTTACAGTGATACCACTGCCTTGGCATTTCAAACACCATCAAAGCATAATGAAAATCACTATACCTTCACCAGTTGACTCCATTCTGCTCGCAATGTTTACAGTATCGCCAAATAAACAGTACCGTGGCATAGTTCTCCCGACCACACCTATAAAATTTATACCTGATTATAAAATAATGCAAAAAATAGTTCCAGACACGAATTTTGTATCATTCTATACTCAGTATAGTAATACACCGATCTTTATTTTTTAACATGTAGCTTCATATGAAAGCTGTACGTTTACAGGGGATACTAATTAAGCCATTATCTTTTTTTGTCAAAAATGATAAATCAAACCTCTTAACCTTTGCTGGCATTGGGTTCACTGTGCCTTATTTCAAATAATTAATACTGTTTGTAATGATATTTTAAAGGAAAATAATCTTTTCATTTACAAAATGTTTTATAAAAATACTTTTTTCATTATTAATCAAAATCTGGAAACAAAGTGATCCATCGGAAGCATTAATCACAAGAGAATTGCAGACTCGGTTTGATTGCGTCTTTACATGAGAGATAATGAATATGTGCAACATCCCTCACGCCCCCTAGCACCGGCTTGAGCGGTACTCAATTCTCAACACATAAAAGTGCTGGCATCAATGATCCCGAAGGACCAGAAAAATATAACAAAACTGAAGTGAAGGACGGGGCAACTTTTTACAGCTGCCACACAGCACTTGACACCTGCTGTTGTGAAGTATAAAAATCTGGAAACAAAGTGATCTCTCAAACTTGTTCTTCCATTTTTTTTTTATTTTGCTCGATCTGTTTTCCTATTCTACATGACATTTCAAGAGATTTGTATGGCATTGTTTTAATCATATGTGCCTTATTTCGCTTACATATAACCAGTAAGCACTGATACTTATAAATTCATCTTCAAAAATTCTGTCTGTATCTGTATTAAATTAAAATTTATTACAATAATATTAACGATCAAACTGTTTTAGTAATCTCCTTGACTGTTCTTTACGGTCGAGCACCTGAAACTTTTACAATTGTTTATTATTTAATGCATTGAACACGTTTTATTAACTTTAGTCTTCATGGGAGAAAAAGTCAAACCTGCTGCACATGGTCCAGTGTTTATACCAATCCTTAGTTGAAGTATTGTTTCCGGTCTGTGCTCTATTTTGAACTCTTTTGCACATTTTAGCAGATCCAGCGACATTAAAGCAATCTCTTCGGCATGTCTGTGCTCGTTTCTAACAGGCAGGCCGCTGACAACCATGTATGCATCACCTATAGTTTCTACCTGAATGATATACTACATAATTATGGAAGCTGCATTTTATGCTGTATATAGAAACATCGATATTTACCTGTAGTTTCGAGGCGCCTGTTGGCAAGTAAATAGGGTGGTTGAATTCAAACAACTCCTTATTGACGTTTTAGAGTTCGAATCCCTGTTTCATCTAAAGGTCGCTTTATGACTTAGCATTTAGCCGCTTGCTGCTACAGATTCTGTCCAGGCGACAAGTGCAGATCAAGATCAGATATCATGCCAATGTCACCTTATCATAGTCAGCACAAGTCGCTATTCGGTGAGTAAATATTTTCAAATTTTCCATATAAATGATTTGTTGAAAGGTGGACAAGTCAATTTAACATTTTTAACATGGGAAGGTTTAATTGTGACTATATTCCACAAAAATTCACGTGTAAAATATGTGTTAGATATGCATTTCGTAGTTGTTATATAATCACATAATACCTTGTAGACATCACGTTGTGATATTCTTGCATCAAATGCTGAATACAAATCGTTCAAAAAGTCCACTATTTCTATCGGAGTACTTTCTGACGACAAAGCAGTGAATCCGACAATATCAGAAAAATATATGGTAACATTTTCAAATACTTCCGGTCTGACAATTTTCCCACATTTCAAATCTTCAGCAACTGTCCTGAAACAAAATAAACCAGATGAAATAACAGATCAAATGCTAATAAAGAATCAGGGAAAAATTGTATAGAGGTTATATATCGTTTGACAGGTGGCGATCCAGTCCGAAATACGATTAGGAGCGAGCGATCTAATCATCATAACATGAAGCACAATTCATGGCTAGCAATCCAATCTGACACATCATTTCGCGACTGACGATTCAATCTGATCCGCGACTAGGGGCTAAAATTCCCATTAGATACAACTTTTGATACACCCTTTGGGCCTAACGATTGATCTGGTAGACCTTTTGGGATTAACAATTAAATTTGATACACAACTCGCGGCTAACAAACCCATTTGATACACCTTGTTGACCAGCAACGATTCAATCTGGTGGACATTTTGGGGCCAATAATTTTATCTTGATACATGATCCAAAATTAATTTACTGCTGGACAAGCTGGTATTTAAGCATAATGTACTTCCACATCTACTCAGTTGAGTACGATATAATGATAATTGCTTAAAACAGGCTTGTGAAGTTGTAAAGACTAATTTGGATCGCATTAGGGAGGAGCACACTGTGAAGGGTTTGGCCGTCCGCACGTACATTCCTATCAACGTCCTCTTATGCTTGCCCAACCAATATTTGTGACGAGGACTTACTTCGTTAAACTTTGTAGGAATATTGCCGTTGGCTAGGGCCTCAGTGACACTGAGTGAGAATGTTTTGGTCTAAAAGGTATGTAGAACTTATGAATGACAATACTCCTATCATATACTAGTATATGACATTTTGTCTTTCGTTATTTCTAACACTAAGATATAGAAACTTAAGAGAAAGCAGAAGAAATCGTTTATACGTAGGCAACATTCTGTAAAGTAGGGTGTCAGTTTTCTGTTTCTCCTCGATCAACGCAGCTGTTCTCTGCTCTACAATGGTCTCCAGATTCACAGCGTATTTTTCTAACATAAGAACCATATTGTCTACTATATTCACCTTCCTGAAAATATAACAATATACAGAATAGAACACTTAGTAAGGCTACAAAATTAGTCTTCTGACTCCTGATGAGCAACAACTGTTCCAAAAAGTTTCATTTCATATTTAACCAACTCATTGGTTTATACAGAATTATTGATTTTAGCTGCTTGTGTAGGAACCTATAATATAAGCTTATAGACACTCTTTTGAATCCGTTCTTGGAACCAACCAGTACTGAGCAATGACAAAAGTAACAAAAATACTTGTTCTTAGCAAACATAGAAATTTTACAAGAAGGGCCTACCTCCCTTGACGTAATTCTCTTGTTACATATCTAATGTCTGACATTGGCGGTCTACATTCTGGTTTATCCGACCAACATTCGTTCAGTAACTGGATCATCCTCTTTCTCGTGTTGTAGCCAACCATCCAATCGTTCTCAATGTTGTCTTCAGCCTCGTCATTAAAATTTTTTGGGCGATACGGCGGAACTTCTCGTGCTTGAACGCGTTTTATTATTTCTACAAGAAAAATATTATATTTACCTAGGAAATATTTTAAGAATAATAACATCTTTCCTAGCGGAGGAATACATTTCATGTGAAATGGCTTATTTGCATACAACATGCACTGCTGCAACTGCCGTTTAAGGTATTTGAAAAACTGCTAGAGTTTGTAATAAATATCTACAAGCAAAGAATCATCCTCAATATTGGTTAATGGAATTAGTACAACAAATATTGTTTTTTTATGCAAAGTGTATAAAAGTTCTTGATACCTGTGTGATACTTGTATTTTAAGACAAAACGAAAGACAAAACGAAAGACAAAACAATTCCCATTTACATATAGAGATTTTTGAAAAAAAATCAAAGTACCTTCAGGTGAGGTTGCTACGGTATCGTATGGACTTCGTCTGTATAGAATCTCAAACAACACAACGCTAAAAGAGTAAATATCCGCTTTTTGTGTACCCATATTTATCTGCATGCTATTGTCTATGAGCTCAGGTGCCGTCCAAAACATACCTAAAATAAATCTGTAGAATTACTTATCCCCATTGACAGAAAGTCTTACATACAGATGATAATTTGGGCTAGTATATTCAACACAAAAAAGATATGATGGCCGTTACCTTGACAAAGGGCGACAAAATCAACTGTCGTATTGCCCTGATTGTCCAACAGCCTGTCCGAACAGAATTACATGTATAAACAATATTATAATGACAAGTAAAAATGATTCAGACAAAAGTGAGTCAATGAGATTTTACCGGCCCTGCTTTAACCCATTCTTAATGGCATTAAGTATTAGCATTAGGAGGCGGGATGGATTTATGAAAATCGAGGAATATTTTCAAGATTTGATTCCATAATCGTGAGACATTTATTAAAACAAATGAAATGTAACTATTCTGTTGAAAAAAAAGTTTGTTTTATAAGACAAATCTATTACGAAAAATAAATACATAAGTATATAAAAAGAATCGGTTTATACCGGTATTTTTTGAAAACTAAAACAACAGCTGTGTATTTAGCCCTATTCAGATGTATGAAAATAGTTCCGTTGTTATATCATTAATAATAAAATTTTGACCGTACAAAACAATTAAGATCAGCATCTTTTGTTAGTTAACCCAAAATGATCAGCCAAATCAACATTCATTTCTTCAGTGAAAATATCATAGGATAGAAATACGTTTTATATGAAACGGCTCATTTGCATACAATATACACCTCATTTACATATACATTTGTAATTTGCACGGCTGTGTCATACCGTTTTAAGGTTTTTGAAAGCTTCACGGATATGTAATCAATATTAACAAGTTAATGATAACCCTGAAAATTTGTTTACAGAAATTAAACCACAATATGTTTTCATGAAAAGTGTGTAAAAGTTCTAAATACCTGTATAATACTTGTATTCTGTAAGATTACGACGCCTATTTAGATTTCTCATTCTTGTAAGCCCATAATCAGTCACCTTTAGCACCCATCTGTTGTCAACTAAACAGTTGCTGCTTTTAATGTTGCCATGGTAACGTAACGGAGACGAATGAATATAGTAAAGTGCCTTCAATTAAAAAGAAGTATGACCTCTGATGAGCGTTGGCAACAATTGTAAATGCAATATGGTTTTCAGAATATAAAAAAAAACACATGTGTCAGCAATCTATTTTATTCGAAGAGATGCTTCATGATATTAGCAAATTAACTCAGCTTTAGATGTGTTTTTAAAATTTCCATTAAATAAAATTCTGTATTATGTATTTAAGTACCAGTTCATAAAACCTTTGCTGAATGCCACTATTAGGGCCAAAATCGATTTCACCAAAGTCTCAAAAGATGCTTAGATAATCGGCTTAAACGGAATGGTAAATGCATGTGTGTGTTTTAAACTATCTTATGACATTAGAACGAAATATTATGCCCATCTTAGTGTAGATGGAGAGTGTACAGGGTAAAGTAAAAAATCTTTATTTTCTCAGAATATTCTAAGAAATGTTAAATAAATCAGAAAAATAACATGCCTTGGGAGCAGTAATACTACAAGAAGATAGGTAAAAATTGCAGACCTCGTTTGATTGAGTATATTCATGAGAGGTTATAAAAGATGAAGCATCACCCATACCCCCTAGCACCGTCTAATCTGTTGCTTAACATATCCTATCAATCTTACTTACATTTGTAAGGTCATTTATAAGCGAGACCTTAAACAACCAATCCAGCTTGATATCTTCATTTTCAATAATGTCCTGAAAATATATTGCACTATAGTTATGAGATAAATTGTTTATGACAATGACATATGTTACAATATAGAATTAATATGAACATTTTATATGTTAAAAAATAAAATATGTCTACACCCGGCCCCATGGGCTTATAAGTAACCTTGTATAATAGGCTAAAATAAGAACATGTGATCAAATGCTATGGCATATAGCTATAGTCAGCTGCACATGTTAAGATGATGAAAAATATAAATATATGCATGTATATACATGTACATGTATAATATATACATGAATGTTAATAATTACAAACAATGTGAAGTCTGAAATTTATGAATATATACTGATTTTTACCTGATCTGAAATGCCTTAACAACAAAGTTTGCCTTTTAACGAATATTGTCATATAGTAATATACAATTTTTCTTCATGTTCAGTTATGTTTACAATAGGTCATTTCAGACATCATAATAAGCTTACATCTTCATACAGTTGTTTATACATCTTGGTAATTAAGTTTATTCGAAATGTAGATTATACAGTCAAAGAACGGATAAATAATCGGCGCGACATTTTATTTCCGCTTTAAAGACGCTGCTCTCAATACGAGACAAAAATCTTTGCTGTTCGCATCCGATTACATTATTTTAAACTCAAAGTCGGTAATCGTTCTCCTGGAAAAATATCTTACAGTTTTATCTCATTCACGAAGAAAAGGAAAGTTACTTGAAAAAGACAAAAACAGAATGAAAAACAGAATTGCTTCCGACCCAAAAAAATGACACTATTAGAAACAAAGCCAGCATTTATATGGTTTTAAAATTTACGCTCAATCAAAAAGAAATGATAATGTGAATTTAAGAGCTATCTTGTCAAAAGTACAAAAAAATGTCGGGAGAATGAATTCCAGGAGATTATTGGCCAAATATACAGAATATGAATTTCAAGGGCTGACTAGCCCAGTATAAAAAAACAAGAATTACAAAAGCTGATTAGCCCAAGAGCTGACTTGCCCAATGTACAGAAAAAATCGTTAAATGAAGTTCAAGAGCTGATTAGCCCAATATACAGAGAAAAATCGGGAAATAATGTATAGATTACAAGAGCTGATAAGCCCAATAAAGGAGAATGAAATTTTATTTCTGACTAGCCCAATATACAGAAAAATATCGGGAAAATGAATTTCTACAACTGATTAGCCCAATAAACAGAAAAAATTCGGGAAAACAAAGTAAAAAAATCTGATAAAATAGAGAAAATAAGAATCCCTAAAGAAAGCTAAAGAAAGCCCAACACGGCAAAATGATAAGCCCAAAAAAGTAGAATGAATTTAGAGTGCTGATTAGCTCCAAATACAACAAAAAATCGGAAAATGAATTTCTAGAGCAATATGCAGAATAGATTTCAGGAGCAGATCGAGTGGTCCAATACACAGAAAAATATGGGAGAGAACTGACTAGTCAAATATACAGAGAAAAAGGTGTTTTTTTCAAGAGTTGATTGGCTCAATGCAAAGAAAGAAACATGAGAGAAAGAATTTTAAGAGCTAACTTTGCACACCAAAGAAAACCCTGAGAGAATCTATAAAATGAAGGGCATTTACCTCAAGGCTACCTTTGTTACAATATGCTGTGAGTAAGCATGGTCTGCATTCTTCAATACACATGCCAATAAATGTGTTCACGTTCTCATTCCGTAGATCTCGCATCTACAAAATAATAATACACCTGTTTTTGAACTGTACATCTATGTCCCTGAAAATACCAGTTCAGAAACTCTTGTTTATGAAGTGTGCAAAGTAATAACATTCTAATTACGAGTACTTTCAAAGTTTTTATTAAAAACAATAATTGGCAAGCAAGGCAATGCCGGAATATTACATTTTACCGCAATATCGCTTACGCTCATAGGATGGAATATAAAAAATTCTGTATTTCTAAAAGTAAAGACAAGGTACTATATGCTCAAGATATGCATATGTGATATTGTATTCACCGCTTTTAGTTCGTGTAAATCAGTCTGTGTTAGGGATATACACTGAGGGTTCAAACATTTGATGGCAACAACTATCCCCTTGTAGAACCCAATCTTGGAAAATAACTGGAGATTATCTGTGACATCTGATATCCGGTCACCAGCAGATTTTGACCCTGCTACGCTGCGTAGACTTAACTGAAAAATAAATTTTTTATTAAAGATAACGTGTATTTGAGGCGCCGCCATATTGACATTCTTTTTTTTTAAATAATGACGTCAAAGTGGAGAAAAAAACAATTCCAAATGTTTCAAAATCTGTTACACAGGCAAAAAATCTGTTGCACCACATTATTCAAGGATATACATTGAAGAAAATAATAGTCTGCAAGCATTGTTCCTAAAAATAATTATAATAAATTATAATTATCCCCACTTAACAAAGATCACACCTAAAATATACTAATATGGGCCATCTTCATAAAGGTGCCGCATACTTTAGAATCCGCGCGATTCATTTAAAAATATCACTAACACACAGTGCAATCAAAGGTATTCTCAAAAATTACCAAATGAACTGCCAATCATAAAGTTTCTTACTTATTTGGAGCCAACTGTCAATTTTTGAATTTTAACTTTTTCTCCTCATTTGTATGATACCGGTAGTTTACCTGACTTATACTGTTTGTGAACCGGGCCTTGGACATTCGGATATCATCGCCATTTATCGTCCACAACTTAAGTTCTACTTCCCGATCAAAACTTGGCTCTCCTGACGGTAAAATCATAAGTCAATATTAAGTAAAATATAAGAATTCACATTCAAAAAATATTCTGTCTACCATATATCCTAAAGTTTATCCCAAAAGGTTTGCAATTGATGTTTCCGGAACAGTGGGAGAGACTTGTGAAACTTTTTTTATCATATTGTAAATACATTTTTACTAATTCTATATCATAATCAGTATTAAGCCTATTCTGTGTTAATTAAAATACTCTTTCGCAATGGGAAGTTATGTTATGTAGATTTAGTGTTGGACAATAGGAAGTTACATAAATGTAGATTACGGCGTTTGACAATCGGAAGTTATATGATGTAGATATACAAGTGTACGATAGGAAATTACAAAATGTAGAATTTAACATGTTTGACAAAGGGAAGGTATATTATGGATTATTAAAGTGTTTAACAATGGTAGGTTATATGATGTAGCTTAAAATGTTTGACAGTGGGAGATTATATAATGTAGATTTGACAATATATAGTATTATGAAATTTTGATAAAAGTTTGTCAACTGAAAACCGCCTCCGTGGTCGAGGGGTTAGAGTCGATGACTTCTAAACCATTTACCTCTCTGGCATGGGTTCGATCCCCGGGAGATGCTTTGGTAGTTTAGCGCGGAGGAAGGGAGTCTAGTACTGGTGTAACTCTCCAGGAAAGATGGTTAGGAAACTACCCGCCTATATGACTGAAATACTGTTGGGAAAAAGGCGTAAAATGAAACAAACAAACAAATATTGTCAACTGAAGTTCAAGAAATGTAGATTTTGCTGATAATGAGTCGCCATGTACAAACCTGTACCAGAGGTAGCCTGTGACACTTGCAGCTGAACCTAGGACAATGGCGACGACAGTAAAAATAGAAATTATTAATACCATATCTGAAAAAATATAAATCACATAACATCAAAATTTACCTAACATAATTGGCATGAACAAAAATGAACAACTAATTTGGAACTAACTCTAACTTTTAGATTTCTGAAAGCTATAACAACAGCCTGGTGCCAGACCCGACGCCAATAAAAACAGTATTTTGTCCCAATATTTGAAAAATTAATGAAAAATTTGCCTGTTATTGACCATTCTACTTCAACAGGTCATATTAATTAACAATAACATTCATGTAAAAACCTTAGAAAGGCTTACTTGATTTTTCAGGTGGGCAGTTCTCATTTAAGAACCCACATGTTGGAGTGGAAGGCGGAGCTTTACCACCTGTTGTTTCCCATACAATTTCTTTAAGAATCTGAATTTTCTGAAACAGTAGAATTTATACCTAATTGACATCCATCAGAAAAATACGGAATGAACTACCTTATCAACAGTTCATTTTGTCTATGAAAATAGGGCTGTATCATTAAAAGCAGACTGCCTACAGATTCATACTAATTTTCATGATTTTTTTTATTTACAATTTATTTTTTAGTACAATATTGTGAAGTGAAGAAAAAAAAGTAATTTACACTTTGCAAACGGGACTTTCAATCCACGTTAATTACCAAAAAGAGGTCATAATATGCATTAATAGCCCTTACGGCGATAGTCATGATGTAAAAATATATGGCGATAAAAACTGCAAACTCTGTCCTTATTAAATAGCACATAGCCTTGCATCTTTTCACTTTTCTTAAAATCTTAGTACATTTTACCCAAGTTTGATTTCCTTGAAATAATTCCGCTCATCTGGAGGTAAGCAGGTTGAAAATTAACAGTATATTCAACAACAAATCTAGAAAATTTATGTAGTGAAGACAATCATGGAAACTGCACCAATCCTGTATACCATGTCGCTTATCAATGCCATACATATTCAATAAACCTTTTTACAATACATTTTTGCATAGTAACGGATGTTGCATTTCGCGCATGCGCATTCTGCGTAGGGAAATAATGTAAGCTACATTTTAGCATACTTGAAGGCTTTAATTGACGTGATTTCAAGTTATGTCATCCAGGAATGACTAAAAGCGGTAAATACTTAAAACGTGAATTGATATGTACTGTAATTCTTACCTCACTATCTACAGAAGTCAGGGATATTTCCATTGCGACATGAAATTCTGTTGCACCGGGTACCAGATCCCAGACCCAATAATCTGGTTCCCTGTCGCCATTGTCGTCAACTTTGACATTTCCTGTCATACCTATCATGGTAGAAATACATTTTTCTTAACATTTTTTGTATTTGTATTAAAGAGCGAGCAATCCATAGATTATAATCCTAACCCAAAACCTCTAACCCTAACCCATATACTAACCATTACCCAGAATACATACTAACCATAATCCTTGACCTAGCTTATCTCAATGATTTAAAGAGAAACATTAAATTAACTCTTAAATATTGAGGAAATAATTTTGTGTAAAATCTTAAAAATAGCTGCGGACATATTTTGAAGTATAGCCTGTAAAAGTTGCAAAAAGAAGATACGAAGATACATGTAAATGAAATTCTGTTGCATCCTGTAGTTTATAAGAAATTTAAAAGGGCTGGTTTCCTACTGGAAAATACATTTTTAATTCATTCCAGTTTCCTGTCACCACTACTTATATGCATGGCATACAATTTGTGTTAAAAATACATTGATTTGTTAATGATGTTTTTAGTATCAGGTTTGGCAAATTATGTTTATACATGTATTTTATTTTGTTGCATTACCATACATATTTGTTCTGCTCACCTCGAAACGTTTTGCCCTTGGCTCTTTCAAACATGAGCGTTCCGTTCCGCGGATTCTCGTTATTGGCGAGAGTCTCATTCAGAACAAGAAGATACAAATAAACAACATCATGAAGAAACGCCGAATATTCTGATCCCTATAATAAATATACTCAAAATCTGAAAACCAAAAGATATATGAGCCGCGTCATGACAAAACCAACATAGTGGGTTTGCGACCAGCATGGATCCAGAGAAGCCTGCGCATTCGCGCAGTCTGATCAGGATCCATCCTGTTCGCTATCAGTTTTTCTACTTGTTAAAACAGCATGGATCCTGATCAGACTGCGCGGATTTGCGCAAGGCTGGTCTGGATCCAGGGCGGGCCCGAAAAACCCTTCGGGGTTTTTGGGCCTTACCGGCTCAAAAATGTAAAATTTTAAATTTAAAGGTAAAGTTAAATTAAATATGCTAAATTTGTTTGGGAAAACCTTTTCTTTTTTTAAATTTCGAAAAAAATCATCCCCGTTTTAACGAAAATTCCTTTTTAAAGGGGGACCGAAACTTTTGCGAGTAAAAAAAATCTTTAAAAAAAATAAATTTTTAAAAATTCTTAATGTTTTTACAAAATTAAACTGCTTTTTTAATAAAAATTAAAAAGAAAACCTTTATTTTGTTATCTTTAGGGGAAATTTTGGGTATTTTCCATGGTTCATGCGCCTTTCTTCTCTGAAACTGGGTTTCCCAGGGAACGTCTCTAATCCGGTCCCCCCATTTCTGCTAAAATTTATCAAAAAACCAAAAAAATTTGAAAGATTTTAAAACTTGTTAAATTTTAAATTAAAAAAAGTTGTATCGTCTTGTATTTTTTTAAATCTTAACAATTCTAAAAGAATGCAAATACCATCGAGGAGTTTGAACTGTCACTTTCAGTGAGGGGAAAGTGATTTTAAATCAGCGAAGTACGTATCAGCCATGGAGTTTCATATATAATTTGTTTGTGATAATTTATACAAAAGCGATTAATATTATTGTTTTAAGAGGCTAGGGAATATCAGCCAGATTTCATAACTGAGTTGTGTATTATTTTCCTGTCCCTAAAAGCAGTTAATTTTCACTTAACATGGTCTCTTGGGGCCTTAGATAGGGCTCTTAGGGCGGCCCATATAATTTATAAAAATTTTTTATCTCATTTTGGATATTAAACAATGGTTCTAAAGTTTTTCTGAATGTTGTTGGTTCCCCCAAAAACCTTTGGGCCCTTTAGGAATCCCAAAGTTTTAAATTTCATCGATGCGTTTTAAAAATTTATAAAATTCTAAAATTTTCATAAAAAGACCCCAAAAAAAAAATTTTCTTCTTTTGAAAATTTGTTTTTAAATTTATTTTTCAAGTTTTTTCGTGATATTCCTGGAAAGCAAAAATAAACGCCCCTTTTGGCTTCAACGTCAAATTTTTCATTTTTCCCGTCTTCCACGGAAATTGTTTTATCTTTTGGCGGCCAAAAAGATCGGACAAAAGGTAAAATAAAATTCCGTCGTCATACCCTTTTTGGTGCGCAAAGTGCCAAAAATCCGTCTTTGTCAGAAGTTATCTTTCCCTTTCATAAAAATTTTGATGGGGAAAATGGAAAAATCAAAAGGGTTAAATAAAATTCCCTTGGGTTAGGATAAAATGGCAGCTATAAATGTAATGACGTCACAAACGACGAATAATTTATACCGCTAAAAGATGTGTCAATCATTGAATCAAAAGAATACACGGTGTCCTGTAACTGTAAGGGCCATCGCGACACACACATACATTGTAACTCGAATCAACTAAAATACGAACTTACGATGCTGAAAAATCGTGTTTTCGTTGATTCGATTTACGTGTGTATCGCGATGACCCTAACCACCGTAAGAATGATATCTTAATTAGGAAATGATAATCGTCTTATTTTACAGCGGCAACGTAGAAGATGAAAGTACCTGTCTTAAAGAAAACATTTTTGAAATATGTAATTTAAATTCTGAATAATGTCTCTTATAAGTAGCATAATTATATTACAAATGATAGCTTTTCTATATTTAGACATGACCGACGAACGACTTGAAAAAGCAAATTTATTAACAACATGAATGTCGTCTGCAACTACATGTACTGATATTTAAATAGTTAACTCACTCCTAGCCCGCTGTCTTGCTCTGCTCAGAACGATATCTATTTGTCCGTCTGCTATACCAGCCTCTATTGGTATGAAATCAACTATTTTTATATCATTCTCACTGAACGCTGTTTCTACTGATCTCGTGGAATAATCACAGAAAACATGTCTCTGGCTACTCTTACGTTTCGAAATTATCACAACTTGTGTCCAGTTATAATGTTTGAACAGTTCAACAAACGCTTTGCCCATTTTATTAAATGGCGGACCTAGACGAACCAATGTCTTGTAGACGCTTTTATCTTCCAGTGCTGGGTCAGTTGACGCTTGAGAGAACATAGGCAGATTCCAATACCTTGCAAGAAGTCCAGATGGCTTCGTTGCTGAAAGAAAGGAACAAAAGAGATCTTTGTAGTGATATTAGTTTCAAAATATATATAAACTAATCATTTTTATGCCACCGCAGCATCTGCGATGCGGTGGCATATAGCGATTCACCTGTGTGTGTGTTTGTTTGTGTGTGTGTGTGTGTGTGTGTGTGTGTGTGTTATATAGATTATATAGTGAACTTAAAAAATCTTCTTGTGAAAAACCACTTGTCCAATTTCAACAAAACTTGGCAGGATTGATCCTTGGGTGAAGGGCTTCCAAAGTTGTTCAAAGAATTTAATTCCATGCAGAAATCTGGTTGCCATGGTAACCAAAAGGAATTATAAGAATAAATTAAAAAAATCTTCTTGTAAAGACCCAAAAGGCCTATAGCTTAGATATTTTGCATAAGGCATTGTCTGGTAGACCTCTACCAAGATTGTTCAAATTATAACCCTGGGGTCAAAATCGGCCCCGCCCCGGGGGTCATTGATTTTCACTATATGTACATATAGTAAAAACTTAAAATAACTTCTTGTAAAGACCCAAAAGGCCTAAACCTTAGATATTTCGCATAAGGCATTGTCTGATAGACCATTACCAAGATTGTTCAAATTATAGCCCTGGGGTCAAAATCGGCCCTGCCCCGGGGGTCATTGATTTTCACTATATGTACATATAGTAAAAACTTAAAATACCTTCTTGTAAAGACCCAAAAGGCCTAGAGCTTAGATATTTTGCATAAGGCATTGTCTGGTAGACCTCTATTCAGATTGTTCAAATTATAGCCCTGGGGTCAAAATCGGCCCTGCCCCGGGGGTCATTGGTTTTCCTTATATGTATATAGTAAAAACTTTATAGCAAAAAAATTTCTTCTAGCAATTGACAAATGCTAGAGGTTAGATATTTTGCTTGAAACATTGTGAAGTGAACTTCAGCCCTGGGGTCAAAATTGCCCCTGCCCCAGGGGTCATTGATTTTCAATATATACATACATGTATAGTAAAAAATAAAAAAATCTTATTGTCTGAAGGTACAAGGCTTAGAGCTTGAATATTTGTTATCCCCCGCCGATGGAATCGGGAGGGGGATATAGTTTTGGCGTTGTCCGTCCGTCCGTCCATCCGTCCGTCCGAATTTCGTTTCCGGAGTAGTTCTCTGCAACTACTGGCTGGAATTCAACGAAACTTTATGGGAATCATCAATATCAAAAGGAGATGCGCATATCGTCGGCTTGTTCCGGTCCGACCCTTTAACTCAGAGTTATAGCCCTTGATTAGTTATGTAGTATGCATATAGAGTAAAAAATCGTTTCCGGAGTAGTTCTCTGCAACTATTGGCTGGAATTCAACGAAACTTTATGGGAACCTTCAATACCAAGAGGAGATGCGCATATCGTCGGCTTGTTCCGGTCAGACACTTTAACTCAGAGTTATGGCCCTTGATTAGTTATGCAGGAGTCATTGATTTTCACTATGTACATATAGTAAAAAAAAAAAAGTTTTGTCTGAAGGTACAAGGCATAGAGCTTTGATGTTTGCTATATAATATCATCTATGGGTTCTCTACTAAAGTTGTTTTAATTATGCCACTAGTGTTAAAATTGGCTCGCCCAGGGGCAGTGATTCTCATTATGTTCACATAGTAAAAACAGAAAATAAAACAAATCTTTTCTGAATGGGAGAAAGCTACAGCTTAGATATTTGACTTGAAATGTTGTTTGGTGGACCTGTATCAAGATTGTCTTGAATTAAACCCTTGGGTCCAAAATTTTGCCTTGCCCAAGGGGACAGTGACCTACTTTCTTGTCCTTTGATGTACAGCAATGAAATTTTGACCATGTGCACAGTTTTAGTTGTAAAATTGAACTTTGATATCAGGTGACCTAGATTTTGATGATGTGACCTACTTTCTTGTCCTTTTATGTACAGCTATAAAATTTGAACCATGTGTACAGATTAAGATGTTAAGTGAACTTTGATTTCAGCTGACCTAGATTTTGACAAAGTGTCTTACTGTGTTGTCCTTTGATGTAGTCATGAAATTTAGGCTGTGTAAATATGACCATCAAATTCACTAGACTCAAGTGCATTGATATATTCCTACTCTGGTCTTTTATTGAGTTAACAACAGATTTAACCACTAATCTGATAATAAGAATTAGATAGGTCAGGGATCTATGCATTATGACAATCTTCAAAATTGTATAGAAACAAAAAAAATCTGTTTTTACACTACTATTTAGTGTTGTATTAATGCGGTGGCATAGCATTTTTCTCAAATGCAATCTTGTTCATAGGTAGTTTTCATAAAACATATTCTCAATTAGATGTGTTTTTATTTGTTTGGGTCGTCAGACCAAACAAATAATGGTAGCGAAATTTCAGAGTCTAATGTTGTTAATTGCAAATGCCGAAAGTAGTCCACTTGTTTGAAGCGGTTACTTCCCTTTTGTATGTACACTAAAGCCGAAAAATTCAGGGGAGATCACTGCGTAAAGATGGTCAAAGACAGGCGCATCAATTTTCAAGCAAAGTAATTCCCGAATGGTCGAAGATTTCTAATATTGTTTTATTGTATTTTCTGATCGAAAATAACTAAATACAAAGCGGACATTCAATCTCTGACACAGAAGTTTACGACAAACCTAACAACAAGTAGTTCTCAAAACAGCTTAAAACTAGCGATTTAAAAGAAAGAAATATTTTATTTTGTTACAAGTATCCAACAAATTACAACGCATTTAAAGTTAAACAATAGCGTTGGCTTATAGAATTGTCAATAAATGCACAATCACAAATTACGCGGATGAATATGATTTTATCAATGAAAATACTATTTTTAGCCATGTAGATTACCGAATACTACACAAACCGAGTAGTGGAATATATAGATTCTACATGTCGGACTGTTTGGGCGAGAGGATTTTCGCTAAAATATTTACTTCAATTTTAAACAACAGGTTTACCCTGAACAAAATACCTCGAAATTAATAAGGATTACAAACCCGAAATGCAATGGAAGTTCTTAATTATAGATTCTACATGTCGGACTGTTTGGGCGAGAGGATTTTCGCTAAAATATTTACTTCAATTTTAAACAACAGGTTTACCCTGAACAAAATACCTCGAAATTAATAAGGATTACAAACCCGAAATGCAATGGAAGTTCTAAATTTAGAATGACTTGATATTATTCAGTTCTTCTGTGTATAACTTCTCCGTGGTACAGTGGTAACGCGCTCGGTTAGGGAGTGAGAGGTCTCGAGTTCGAATCCCAGTCGAGGAAACTTTTTTTTTAAGTGTTTTTGTTAAGGAAGTAGCCATGATATGCAAGGATAAAGTGTGGCTGTCGTAAAAATGATCATAAATGATTTTTTGATGCAACTCTAGTTATGCAGAATTCCGTATGTATCAAACTCTGGTGCCTTGCAAAATGAATTATAATACATAAAAATAACCCTATACAGGAAAATGCATACAGATATACAGTACGATTTAGATTGCAAAGATCAGAAAATACCACAGAACTTGCAGCCCTTTGATTCTTTATAAATATAAGTGCTTATAAAATAGTAAGCTCCAGGATTAGTTAACATCTGTGTTAAACAACAGTTAAAGTCGTTACAAGCCCTAATTTAGAATAATGTGGTTTTCTTCAGCCCGTTCACATATAAATTCACCGTGGCTGAAGGGTTTTCGGGCTCGCTTAGGAAGCGAGAGGTCTAGAGTTCAAATCCCAGTAAAGGTAACTCATTTTTTTTTCAAATTGTTGAGGTCAAATAAACATTGGATTGAATATCAGTGTTGCAATTAGTCTTATAGCCAATTTACTACAATTGTATCATAGTTTCGAGACCTTTCTGTTGAAAATGTGTCAGGGTTAAATCGTATACATATACATGCACAGTGCGTTAACTGGAGTGCGGGTATTAGTTACCCGCACTCCAGAGCATGCCCATTGATTGGCTCATTTTTGCTGGGGTTTACATATTGTGACGGCAGAGAAAGGGAAAGCGACAGAAATGTCATATTCAGATGTTCGTTCATTGGTTCATTTTTGCCGGGGTTTCATATTATGACAACAGGGAACGTGCTTTTATGTTTGACTATGATACAAAAGAGAAAGAACACCAAAACACTCGGCAATCTGATTAATACTCGGGGGCTACGCCCCCTCGTACAAATCAGATAGCCTCGTGTTTCGGTGCTCTTTCTATTACTTAAAACGCTGGAAAGCATTGGTGGCACTATACATATAATCTCACAACCTGCACCTTTCTTACATTCTGAGACCCAAACAAATTCAGCGCCTTCTGTGCTTTGATTATATATGGATGTGCTTCTTTCTTTCACATACATTCGTTACAAATAACATGTGAATTATCTTTTTTCAAGGTTACGAATATTTCCAACTCTAGTACACAAATTTGAATAATATCTCATCTAGTGTTCATATTTGTACAATTTCATCTCCTTTATATCCTGTGTTTTTAAAGCTTCTACTTGTCAACGATGACTTGTTACTCTGAATCATAAAAACGCCTATTTTTATCTATACAAATCTTTGCAGTTCTTTGCAGGATGTGGTTTATTATCCCCCGCCGAAAATTTTCGGCGGAGGATATAGAAATAGTCTCCGTCCGTCCGACCTTCCGTCCTTCCTTCCGTCCGTCCGTCCGTCCGTCCGTCCTTCCGTCCGACATTTTTGTCCGGAGCATATCTCTAAAAGTATTTGAGTTATCAACTTGAAACTTCATAGGTGGATAGACCTCATTGAGGAGGAGTGCAGTGCACAAGAATGATAACTCTACCTTGCATGATTTTTTAGTTATTGCCCTTTGTTATTTTTCAAGATTGATTTTTGTCCAGAGCATAACTCCAAAAGCCTATGATATATTAACATGAAACTTCATAGGTGCATAGATCTCACTCAGGAGGTGTGCAGTGCACAAGAATGATAACTCTACTTTTCATAATTTTTGAGTTATTGCCCTTTGTTATTTTTCATACCTAATTTTTCATCTGAGTGGAGCATAACTCAAAAAGTGTTTGAGATATCAACATGAAATGTCATAGGTGGATAGATCTTGTTGAGGAGGAATGTTGTGCGCAAGAATGATAACTCTTCCCTATACAATTTTTAAGTTATTGCCCTTTGTTTTTTTTTCATGCTATTTTGTCCAGAGCTTATCTCAAAAAGTATTTGAGGTATCAACTTGAAACTTCAAAGGTGGATGGATCTCATTGAGGAGGAGTGCAGTGCTTAAGAATGATAACTCTCCCCTGCATTATTTTTGAGTTATTGCCCTTTGTTATTTTTCAAAATTAATTTTTGTCCAGAGCATAACTCAAAAAGCCTTTGAGATATCAAAATGAAACTTCATAGGTGCATAGATCTCACTCTGGAGGTGTGCACTGCACAAGAATGATAACTCTACCTTTTATAATTTTTGATTTAGTGCCCTTTGTTCTTTTTCATACTTAATTTTTCAATTCAATTTTTTTCTCAAAAAGTATTTGAGGTATCAACTTGAAACTTCATAGGTGGATAGATTTTACTGAGGAGGGATGCAGCACACAAGAATGATAACCTACCCTGCATTATTTTTCAGTAATTGCCCTTTGTTATTTTCAGCCATCTGTATTCACATAAGTTTCAAATCTGTAATCACTATAGCCATCAGTTTTCATTACCAAAAGACCTCTTAAATTGAATTATTCCGCTCTACTACATATACATTCTTCCAATGAGCAAACACATTCGGCGGGGGATGGCCATGTTGACATGGCTCTTGTTGATTGGGTAACAGTCACGGAAAATTGGGCGTCCGTAACTTTGGTGTGACTGCACTGTTCAAGTTTTATTTTTTTTTACATGACGGGACTGGAACAAGTTTTTCGATATCAATGTTCTATTGAATGTAGGTCTATAACCCAATAACGTGTGTGCAAATTTTCAGATAAATCAATCATATCATTTTTCAAAAATAATAATTCTAATTGAAAAAAAATGACCAAACGTGAAAACTCACTCAAATAGGGCTAAGAATAGCACCAAATACTTTTTTCAATTTATTTCTGAGTATATTTTTTAAGTGTTTCATGAAACTTTTTCTGTTGTAAGTGCCTAAGCCTATCTATGTAAGATATTCAAATTTGATGTTTTTCGGATTTTGGAGTTAAGTGGAGTTCGTTTAAGGATTGACCTTGTTCTTTGTCAATAAACGACTAAATTTCTTAACTTTAATACAGTCTGTATTCCAGTAAACATAAGAACCCGCCTAGCAGTACCAAAATTATTTCGATTAAATCCTAGTTTGCCCGACGATCCTACAAAAAACGAGATTTATTTTCGAACTTACAGGCACTAACATAAACTGTTTCTATACATGTACTATTACCCAAAATAAAAAAAAGACCACGTGATTAAACGTCCAATATACAGGATCATTGTAAACTATTTCTACAATTTCTTACAAAAAAAACACTTACAAATGGAACATGGCGGTCCGATGTAAACGTCAACGTCTTCGTCCTTGAGCATCATGGTGCCTGCTGTCCCTCCCTCGGCACTACATCCATCATCTTTCCATAACACACTTTCTCAAGAGAAAACAAAACTGATATAGAACTTATCATTATAAGTAATATTGTTGATATATATTTCATCATAGCTATATATTGCTCATATTTCACTTACGTAAGAGATGTTTCTTTTTTCCATTAAGTTTTGTTATTTTATGCGTGAAATACCCTTGACTTAGACTAAGGTATTTCAAATAGAATGTCTGGTCAATGGTCTGGAGATCTAGACGGGCCGATTTTACTAACCCTTCTCAGACCTAAAATACAAACCCCGAATCTCTTACACGCATTCTTGCTTCATTTTTCTTTCATTCTTTAATCATGAAAAGTATATTTTCCGCCGTCATCTGTTTCCGTGCATTGGAGTATATATTCGTTTTTAAGAATGTTAAGTTTTTTTAACACGAGGTGTAAACTTGATAACTAAAATTCGCTTGAGAAACTTATAACTATTATTGTACAAGCTATAATTTGAAAAGCAGTTCTTTAATATTATTCTACTAATTTAACAACAACCAATGAAACCACATTCTTTCACTCAGTTTTCCTCTGTTTCAACGGAAGTCAATGTAAAGACAGACAGTCTACGGCTGAAAACTATAACAACAATAACAAAAAAAACATACACACTTTCAAAAAGAAACAAAAAACTCCTGCAGCTTCAAGCTAAAAGTATTGACGTATGGCTAATAGAGTTACCTTGGGATTAATTTTAGCTTAAACATAATGTATCTGTTTTCGTCAGCTTCGATGTTTTCCACATTAGTATTTTTAATGACCCTGTCATTCATTCGGCTTCGAGGCAGACAAGTCTTACACGATTTTGAATAAGTCGCATGATTTTTTACAGCGGAATGACACGATTTATTTTGCAAGTTGTCAATAAAAATAACAGTACATAAAAACATTCACATACATCAGCATTACACTTTGGGAGCCATTTTTAATTTTGCTTTGTCGCATAAGATTATTTATTTACATTTTCTTCAAATGGACGGACAATGTCTTCTTACCTCCGTATACAAAGCATTGACTTAATATCGTGGAACCAGTCTGTCTAGAAACTAGAAAACATATTTATTTTGAATAAATTTAAACATAATTATCTTGTAAAGTTTTGTATTTTAACTTTGAGATGATTGGGATATTGCAGTGGGCCTGCCGGATATATCCAGTCTGCAGTACAGACATAGTTCTGGCTTCCCAAGCTTTAAAGCCGCCTTTTATAAAGTAAAGCGAGGTCAAATGTGCTTTTTTTTAGTGACGCCTTGAAAAAGGCGACATATAGGGGTTACTTTTGTCGGCGGTGTCGGCGTCGGTGTCCCCTTAAGCTTGTCCGGAGCATAAGTCAGTCATCATAAGTCGGATTGACTTCAAACATGCATGCTTCTTATGATGACCAGAAGTGCAATGCACAAGAACCGATACTTTGCACTTCTTATTTTTTGAGTTACTGCCCTTTGTTATTTTTCATACTTTATTTTTGTCCGGGCCATTTCTCCTAATGTATAAAAGCTATGGACTTGAAACTTCACAGGATGATAGATCTCATTAAGTAAAAGTGCAGTACACAAATTCTGGTGATCTGCACTTCTTATTTGTTGAGTTATTGCCCTTCGTTAATTTTCATACTTTATTTTTGTCCAGGCCATTTCTCCTAAAGTATAAAAGCTATGGAAATGAAACTTCATAGGATGATAGATCTCATTAAGAAGAAGTGCAGTGCTCAAGAACTTGGTACTCTGCATTTCTTATTTTTTGAGTTTTTTGAGCCCTTTGTTAATTTTCATACTTTATTTTTGTCCAGGCCATTTCTCCTAAAGTATAAAAGCTATGGCCTTTAAACTTCATAGGATGATAGATCTCATTAAGAGTTATCTCATTGAGTTATTGCCCTTCGTTAATTTTCATACTTTATTTTTGTCCAGGCCATTTCTCCTAAAGTATAAAAGCTATGGCCTTTAAACTTCATAGGATGATAGATCTCATTAAGAGTTATCTCATTGAGTTATTGCCCTTTGTTAATTTTCATACTTTATTTTTGTCCAGGCCATTTCTCCTAAAGTATAAAAGCTATGGCATTAAACTTCATAGGATGATAGATCTCATTAAGAAAAAGTGCAGTGTACAAGAACTGGTACTCTGCACTTCTTATTGAGTTATTACCCTTCATTAATTTTCATACTTTGTCCAGACCATTTCTCATAAGTTATAAAAGCTATAGACTTGAAACTTCATAGGATGATATATCTTATTGATAAGAAGTGCAGTACACAGAAACAGCTGCTCTGCATTTCTTATTTTTGGAGTTTTTGACCTTTGTTTTCATATTCATTTTGCCGTGGCCATTTCTCCTAAACTATATTGTTCACAAGGCGACACATCCGACTCGCGGAGTTCTAGTTTTGGTAAAATTTTGTTATTAACCTGTGTTAAGGCTTAATTGTTGATTCTTTGCTAATTAAAAGTTTATATATCGTTTCATCGGGATATAATTAATTAATGACCTAGGCATTGCGATAAACCATTACGAGCGTGTCAGCACTGTATATTACAATACATGTAAATTAATTTATATCTAACATATTAATTCTATAAGTATATCTAATACGTTAATTATATTAGTGAAGATATTACATCAAAGACACCTGTTCATACGAACAAAGCTATTTAATTTTTGGTCACGCAGGATAAAAAATGGCCATTTTTTGTATGCATTAATTAATATATGACGTCATCTTGATTCGTTCATTATCGCATTAATTCTGTGCGCCCACCAATGTGCGTGAAGCTTTTTTTCAAAAACAGCGTTTATCTTTATTCATGTACATATATTTAACTTAAATTCAATCTCAAATCCAAAATCAGTAACTAAATCGTAACAACTTATTTATAACTTTATTCAAGTCACTGTCACAAAATTATGTAAATTTATAATGTGTAAGCTATCGTACCAATTAATACACATTTTTGTCATCTTGTTAATACAATACAAAATAATACAATATAATACAATACATTATAATATATTCTTACATGACCCGCATTTTCCCCTATGAACATAGTAGAACCGAAAGTGTGTGTTATTATAGGGTTAACCCACGTTTTTCTGTGTTAAAACGTCTGCAGAGTCCTGAGGAACGGTTGGTGCGGGCGAGGGCTCCAACAGTTCCGAGGGACTCTGCAGACTTTATAACACGAAATAAACGTGCGTTGACGCTATTATAGCATTTTTTTTTTAAAGATTCATGATGTATATTTAATACAAAACACATACATTGGACGGTATTTATCCAATTCTACATGTTTTACGTATGCGCTTTATTTTTCCAGGGCCAACTACTTGGGAAATTCAAACGCTCAGAACCGTTCGAAAATTCAATTTTAGTTGATTTAACATAGCTTATCATTGGTAAATTATTAACTAAAGAAAAAAAAACAACATTAAATTACTCTGCCCAAGACAAAACATGACCTTCAGAAATTCTTAAAATGATTTCAGATTGACGTTAGAAAAAAGATCAGTGACATCAGAATCGTTTTTGTTTTTTTTCAAGCTCACAAGTTATTAAAAGAATATCAGGCACTAAACATTATTCTCTCAAAGAAATATAAACAGCATTTATCAATATAATCATCACTAAAACAATTAACATTTTCTCATATTCATTTTGTGTTATCTTGTTTCGTAAGTTAATTTGAGGGTTTGTACGTACATTTTGTAATATTTTATGTAATATAATAAAATTTCATATAGTATTATTAATAAAGTTATATGATAAAATAGTATGATATACTTAGGAATGTTTTAAAACACACACAAAAAAAAAACATTTGTAAACCACAACTCACCTGATATTATGCTCAACTAAAATGCCCTCCTGTTTGGCCTTGTCCACAGCAATTGTGGCTGCCGCAGCATTGTTTTCCCAGCCTAGCCGAGGATGACGAAATGGACTCAACATTCCAAGTTTGAATTCAGAATTCATAACGTTAGGTAAACAGTAAACTAACAGTACAAAAATACGAAATAATTTCCAACAACAGTCTACCGTCATGTTTGTTATTATAGTTAAGTTAACGCGTTGTTAAATCAAGTTAAATTTGTTAGGTTCATAATGACCTAACAGTAATAGGATTTTTGTTATAATAAGTCATGAATACAAGCGCGTGATGCCAACATCAAATGACCAGATCACTATAGATACCGCAATCCTCTTCTTGAAACAGACTTTCCGATTATCGGAAACCAGTGATTAGATGTGTTTACAGATTAATAATTAGATATTCTTGTAACAGTAAGTATTCATTTTGAAGAAGGCTAAGATGGCAATTTCGTCGAAGGACATCGGGGTATTCTTTAAATTCAACATGACATACTGGCAAAAATCACACTAGTTATTGTTTACCATGTACATGCTTTTAGAAAAAGGAAATAAAAAGGAAAAAACAATATTCTGCTGAATCCATAAATATATTAAATATATAAATATATTTCAATACTATTAAAGAGAACCTTTGTTCCTTTGTGTCATGTGGAGGCCGTAAAAGGTCGCCCCGTACATCAATTTCTTTCTCCTTTTTTTGGAATGAATATCACGAAAAGATATTAGTCTTAGCTCCTACATTTATTTTACAATAGTTGCTTTAAATTACTCGTATTTTACAATAGCTACTTTGAATTACTCGGTTATTAAACATTTGTTAAGCCCTCTATATTTGGATTAAGCATTAGGAGTCTTCAAATCGATTGTAAGTATTATAGTTTTGTTCGTTTAATAAATAGTTAAATACATATAATATATAGATATGCATATCTTTATAATATATAAAGCGGTATTTATCAGATTGGATGCCAATTATATTCTTCTACAAGAAAACTAATTAAATGTAATAATTGGTTTTCTTTTCACACACGTTCTTTGATATAAATTTAGACAGGAGTTAATTATGTGCAATACATTGTAATGGAAATATTACTTTAATGAAAAACAGTTCTAAATACAGAACAAAGAATTTCCAAGTTTGACTTAATTAGAAATGGCAGAAATGGAAAGCACGTCATTATAACATCTCAAATGACAAATACAATGAAATATCAGTAAGTAAATAGTGTGAATAATTTGCAGCTTTGAAAAGACCTTTGTTTTTTATGTATTATTTTTGTATTATTTCAATTGATCAATTTATTCTAAAAAATTACTGAAATTTCGCTTTTTCGTAAATGGGTAGATGCATTGCTAGAATATCAAACGAAAAACGAAAATGGCTTGATAACAACTGTGTATGCATAACACAGTGCGCATGCGTATCCTCCGCGAGGCTCGTGTTTTTGATTTGCAGTTAAAAATCGTAATAAGACGGACGAACATATTGGTAGTCACGAAGAAATTGGATGTCAAAGTATTGTGCATATCGTGACAACAGAAACGAAAATATTTCGTTTACATTAATTACATTAATTGAGCATTAATTCGAGAGTTTGAACCGAGGTCAGTTTAAAAATCACTTCAGTTAAAGGTTCAAAAACATCTGAGCAATCATTAAAGCTTTTATTAGTTTAAACATATTTATTTCAATATTTTACATATATTACATTTTATATGTATATAATATTGTTGCATAAAATTGAAAGGGATTAGAACGAAAGAAAACTTATATATAGTTCCTCTCCCGAAAGCTTTAAGCGATGTTCGATATTCAGCCAGAGTAGCTAGTGAATTTTTTTCCATGATATTTTAGAAAAATTAAAGGTATTGATTTATAGGTTAAGGTTTCTAGTCACATTACAAATGTGAGATTACTTGTATGCTGGGCAAATACTTTTAAGTTCTAATATTTCAGATGTTCCAGTATTTTCCTTTTTATTTTCCGGGATGTTTATACTGGTTATCTCCGAGCTGGTAAAAATGTGAAAACAAATCTATTAACTTAACAAAAACAAAAATAATCTAATTGTTCTTGAATTGAAATAGACTACAGAGAATATTGAAAAATTCTCAGGTAAATTTAATAAAGAATGGGTTCAAACCTCACTAGGACCATTTTTTTCTCTTTTTTTTTCTTTAAACTTTTTTTAATTAAGATTATAGATGTATTATAAGATCAGAATATACATGTGCTGGGATTGACAAATATAGATCTACACTATATTTAGATTTAATCGCTTTTGGGTCTTCACACGGTGTTTAAACTTGTACGTGTCTTAATTACTAGGCCTAGCTCATTCATGTAGTATGGTATAGAGCTAAATCTGAATAGAATAACTTAATTATTTCAAATCAAGGGTCATGTTAAATGATATGTAAATCACAAATCTGTGATTATGGCAATTCATATTTTTATGTTGTTAATGTAGAAAATCAAGTATTTTATTGATTAAAAATTTTATAAGACCATCAACATGATAAACTAACCTTTACATGCGATATTCGTTCGGCCTTTTCCGCCGGCAAGAATACTGACAGTCAACGAATCATTAAGACCGACCATTTCTTGAGTTATGCCCCTTTATTTGATAATCGCCATTTGTAAACAAGTAAAAATCGAAAGCGGAAGTGGCTATTGACATAGGAATTGAAAGTGAAAGTGTGGAAAAGGGTTGTTCACTTGGTGACGATTCCTGAATATTGAACACGTGGACTATATCTACTGCTGAAAAAAAGAAACGTTTTCAGGTAAGCTGTCTATACCTGCTTTATAGAACCTGAGTCTGAGATGGAAATTCTATCACAGACCGTGCCCTCGCCTACGTGTATCTATATATATTATATACTGCTGTATAATGAGCAAGGTTGCTCAGTCTTTGTTAATTCTCATTTACTTTCATCATTTTAACATAACCTGGGACATAAGATAAGTCTTATATCCCAGACATAACTTAGAATAATGTAAACCACCTCAAGATGACGTATATTTCGTCCAAGACCCATGTCCCCCAGCAACACTGTCCAAGATCAAGGTAGTAATTAATTAAGTTTGTTAATTAATTAGCACTTCATTTCACAATAACAATATTAAGCAATTAGTTACTTTTATGCTCTATTTTTTTCATATGACCAGGGAAGTTGGTTAAAAATCATTCATTTTTTTGTTTTAAACGTGTCATTCAGTATTTCATGCACCGCTTCTGTATGTCACTCTGTTCACTCAACAATTATTAATTAATCCAAAATGTTGCGATTGTTCTGTTGTCGGAATACCTTTGCCTATTATCATTAAGTTACATTGAAAATGGTAGCACCCAACTAGAAATGACACTAAAAATTTGATTGATAGGTACTGGCATGCGAGCTGTTCCTATACAAAAATCGTAGTAACTTAATAATTATTAATTATTTTTTATTAAGCTCACTAACCAAAAAATTGAATGTTACACATCAATATTTGGCTCGTCACTCAAATCATGGAAATTCTATTATGATCTAAATATAGAATAACCATTAGTTATGAGGCCTCATATGGGGTACTGAAATTATCAATTATTTTGTATGAAGAGAAGTAGTTCCCGTACATAAAATATAACCCATTATAATTATAAAATGTTGTTTTATCAGACCTATTTTTCATTTATAATTGTTGAACATACCATTTTCCCAGAGGTAAAAAAGATGTAATTCAGGAAATAGAGTGTAGACTAAACGCTGGTACCTATTACCCGATGCCATTACCCCAACGCATTCACATGCAATTGCTAGTCCAAATATTAAGACGTAACCGCGGATTTGAAGCTATTTTTTTCATGGGTCAAATCCGCTTTTTCCGATAAACGTTAAACTGTAAAAAAACAAAATGCAATGACTCTTTCAATGAAGGACTAATGCAATGGCGTGCTTGTATGCATGATATTTTACACATTAAAGTCATAAAATTATTAGTCCACTACCGGTTTACTGGAGGGGACTTTAGGTTTACCCTCCGTCCGTCTGTCTGTCCGTCCGTCCACAAAACTGGATCCCGCGATAACTTGAAAAGTACTGAAAATATTTTTATGAAACTTGATATATGGATAGATGGCAGTATGGAGATTATGCACGTCTTTTTATTTTCTTCCTATGTAGAAAATTCTGGTTGCTATGGCAACAAATAGGCTGAAAATATGGCAAATTTTACACATAAACTGGATCCAAAGATAAGGCAAAAAGTACTGAAAATATTTTTATGAAACTTGAAATATGGGTAGATGGCAGTCTGGAGATAATACGCGTCTTTTTCTTTTCTTCCTATGTTGAAAATTCTGGTTGCTATGGCAACAAATAGACTGAAAATATGGCAAATTTTACACATAAACTGGATCCAGTGTTAACGCAAAAAGTAATAGAAATATTTTTATGAAACTTGTAATATGGGTAGATGGCAGTCTGGAGATTATGCGCGTCTTTTTCTTTTCTTCCTATTTTGAAAATTCTGGTTGCTATGGCAACACATAGACTGAAAATATGGCAATTTTTTCACATAAACTGAATCCAGTGATAACTCAAAAAGTACTGGAAATATTTTTATGAAACTTGACATATGGGAAGATGGCAGTCTGGAGATTATACATGTCTTATCTTTTCTTCCTATTTTGAAAAAATATTGGTTGCCTTGGCAACAAATAGGCTTAAAACATGGCAAATATAACAATATTTGTGATTACATGTAAGTCAAAAAGAGCCGAAAATTTTTATGAAATTGCATCTTTAATTCAAGAGTTATCTCCTCTTTAAGAATTTTGCTTTTAAAAATGTTATATTTTGTTAACAGGGATGTTTCAAATATTAACTTTAGAGTGTCCTTCAGTCCGTCTGTCTGTCTGTTCATAAAAACTGTTTCTTGTGATCACTTTTAAAGAACTTTTCCAACAAATTTACTTAAAATAGAGAAAAATTGAAACATTAGTGAATGGTCAATGGCCCTTCAGAATGTTGATGGGTTTCTAACCGGTAGGGGACTTATGGATTGCTTGCAATACTATGATAATTGCTTGTTTAATATAGTAATGTAGGTCAAAATTCTGATAATTAAACAAGTTTTCATCCCATTGCCTACTTATCTGTACACAGGTGGTATTAGAGGAAAACCCTTGAACACACCTCAAATGTAAGTATTTTTGCGCATGCGTGCAAGGACAGAATCCCCCAAAGTAAACAAGGTCACGTTTTGACAACACACAGGTGAAAGTGATTTAAATTGAAACTTTTTATACATACTGCCAAACTAACACTTAGATTTTGTCTCGTTTATGATTTGATATTAATTTTTAAAGAATGCAAGTAAAAATCAAAAGTTTAAACGAAAAATATGGGTACTGCTTCTGTACAGGAACTGCTCGCCTGCCAGTAAAGAATTCTATATATTCTTTGTTTTTTTATTTGATTTCATTCTAAATATACAGATGTTGTGTAGTTTATAGTGGGACAAGCCAAAGTCATTGAACGCTGACTTCCCCATATTAAAAAAGAAAGGAAAGTGGGCCTATTTGTTAAAAAATGTTTATGTGAGTGGTCCTTTTTATCCATTCAGTAAGGTCTTAAGTTATTTCTTATAATATCAGTTTGTATTCTTTTTTCCAGGTTGTTTTTTTTCATCATCAGGAATCTTAAAAATAACAGAAACTTGCTTCAAATATGTCGATGGACATGATGGAAGTGGATGATTCGATTCCAGATGATCTGGAAGAGTATTATATGGGAAATGAACATAGAGGACATGTCTTAATCATTGCAAATGAAAAATTTGACAGTCCTCAGATTGAAAATCGTTATGCAGCGAAGCAAGATGTCAGAAAGATGAAAGCTTTATTTGAAGCCCTGGATTTTAAAGTAACATATTTTATGGACTTGAAAGCTCATGAGATGAAACAAGAAATTGAAAATGGTATTAGAATTTTTTACTCTTTATGATTTTTTGGTGTGGGCCAAAAGGCCTAATAAAGCCTAAGACCTTTATTAATGCCTTAAAATTTGTATACTTTCTTGAAATAGTGTTTTTTATTTAACTTCAGATTGATGGATATACACTTGTGTAAAATAAGTATAGGCTCGGGGATTATATCATTTTTTACAGCCATTGTTCATGACATTGTGGGTGAAGTCACATTTTTTCTTTCCACGTTGGTTTTTTATGCCCCCACAGAGTGGGAGCATATAGCGTTGCACTTGTCCGTCAGAGTGTCCGTCCGTCCGTACGTCCCGAAATCTTGTGAACGCAACTCCTCTTAAACCGGATGGCAGATTTTGCTTAAACTTCCAGGGATGAACAACCTTAATGTGTAGATGGTAGTAAAGGAAAGAATTTTTGCTGCGACCAAATTTAACAGAATTATGGCCCTTTGTTGATTTTTTCACTATATACTATGTAGAAATCTTGTGAACGCAACTCATCTTAAACCGGATGGCAGATTTTGCTTAAACTTCCAGGGATGAACAACCTTAATGTGTAGATGGTAGTAAAGGAAGGAATTTTTGCTGCGACCAAATTTAACAGAATTATGGCCCTTTGTTGATTTTTTCACTATATACTATGTAGAAATTTTGTGAACGCAACTCCTCTTAAACCGGATGGCAGATTTCGCTTAAACTTCCAGGGATGAACAACCTTCATGTGTAGATGGTAGTAAAGGAAGGAATTTTTGCTGTGACCAAATTTAACAGAATTATGGCCCTTTGTTGATTTTTTCACTATATACTATGTAGAAATTTTGTGAACGCAACTCATCTTAAACCGGATGGCAGATTTTGCTTAAACTTCCAGGGATGAACAACCTTAATGTGTAGATGGTAGTAAAGGTAGGAATTTTTGCTGCGACCAAATTTAACAGAATTATGACCCTTTGTTGATTTTTTCACTATATACTATGTAGAAATTTTGTGAATGCAACTCCTCTTAAACCGGATGGCAGATTTTTGCTTAACTTCCAGGGATGAATAACCTTAATGTGTAGATGGTAGTAAAGGAAGGAATTTTTGCTGCGACCAAATTTAACAGAATTATGGCCCTTTGTTGATTTTTATTTTTCAATTTGTGGCACATGTAGTCCAAAAAATATTTGACCTAAAGTCATAAGATTGACAGAACAGTGGCGTGTGGGGGCATCCGTGTCCTATGGACACATTTCTAGTTTTTGTTATGTTTTTGTAAAAAGAGTCTAGTATTTGTTTAGATGTATGTTACTGTTGATTGCTGTGAATCCTTCTTGGGCATTAAATTTTGTGGTTTTGTCACAAAGGACATTTCCATGGGTTTTTGAATATAATTATATGGAATGTTTATATTTGCCAAAGTATGATATGAATAGTGTTAGAAAAATGTACCGTTATGCAAAATTATCATACAGACTTAACGAAATTTTGTTGGATTTTAATTTTGTGCAGTAAGTGCCCCATGGATAATGATTTTACAGTATGTATATAGCCAATAACCTGGAATGAAATAATTGCCAAGAATGGCAATAAAAATTGCAAAGGGAAAAAAATGCATCCAAGAAGCCATGAATGAGTATGTTATCATTTAATAGTATAGTATTCATTATTGAATATAAAGTTAGCATTTAACACTGACTACAAAAGTGCCTCACACCACTGTGGGTTTGAATCCTGACAAGGACTTTAGATTCTTTCAAGTAAGGAAGCTATTCAGCTAGCTTACGGAAGTTGATTGTTCTACTAAGTGCCCACTCATGCCTGAAATAATGCAGAGAAGGGCACCTGAGGTCATCCTCCACCAGTGAAGCTGGAAAATCACCATAGGACTCACCAAATGTGGATAAATATATTTAGTTGAAGCAAATGTGGATGATAAATCTTTAGTTAGACAAATGTGGATGAATATAACTGAAGTTAGGCAAATGTGAATGAATATATCTTAAGTTAGGCAAATGTCGATAAATATAGACAGCAGACCAATACTATGTATAATTAATTTAGGGAAGAAGTAGGGCTTAACATATTCATATTACTATTATTATTATGATTATATATATTATAAGATTATTTTGCGTAGTTATAATATCGAAAATTGTGGCTGATTTTGATAAAATGTCACATGTTTGATTCATTAGCAATACATTTACAAGTAAAAGTAATACAAATAATTTCATATCCATGTGTTATGAGTCTAATTTTGCTGATTGTCACTAATTTTTGCGTGATTATCGCTAAAAAATATGTTTGTATCCAAGTCTAAGAGGGGTTCCACATACGAGCAAAATCCCAGGGCCCTAACTCTTGATCTGCCCATGATAAATATAAATAATTTTACAGAATAATGGATGGAAGAAAGATACTTGACTTGTATCTCACAATATTTTATGTTTATTTTGTTACTTGTATCCATTTCGGCCTGATAATAAGGTGTCGTATATTTTTCCTTCGGCTCACAGCCTTGCGAAATAAACTTTCTTCATCCACGGCACCAACCTATTATTCTCTATATGTTTTCAGTTAGCAAGTCACCTGATAATAGGACAGCAGACTGCTTCGTCCTAGTTATAAGCTCTCATGGGCACGAAGAACAGGTAACAAACAGAGTAAACGGGGAAGAAGTTTGGCGTCAAGCTATAAAAGGCGTTGATGACGCTATAAAAGGCGTTGATGATAAGAGACATATTTTTGTCGACAACATCCTAGAAATGTTTGACGATAAAATTAATAAAGCCTGTACTCTGAAGGGGAAACCAAAGTTATTTTTCCTGCAGGTGATTATTTTAATAAATTAATTGGAATATATTTTGAAGTTACTTGTTGCTCCTGATATCACTTATCGTCAGTCATAAACAATAGTCTCCACCCTAGGGGTTGTTATCTATTTTGACAGCATTATTTGGCAATATAACAACTTGAAATCAAAATCATTAGGTGCATTATTAGGTGTGTTATCCTTTAATTCCTATTAATTTTTAAAGCTTCAGTGAAAATCACTCTGACAGTGCTTTCAGTGCTTTGATTACACACTGTTTAGCTAAAGAAATAAAAACACAGGCATTTAAAGGCCCATTATGCCCAATTTATTTCTCGAAAGTGTTTTATTTTTGGTGGCCTGTTATAACTTCCAAAAAGTTACTCAATGGGCAATTATCTGAACCAACTTTTGCTTCTGTTGCTTTTTAGCAATCAGTATACATGTAGTTATATTGCGATTTAGTATTTTGTATAGAAGTCAAAATACTACTTTGTTTACATGTTGCTGGTTTTATGACAAATTATTTCACATTAGCGCTAGTTTCTTCAGGGGATAAGCACGTAACATGCTCCAATACCATTGTTTAAATAAAAATTTATCTATGTCCTTTCCAAGAAAAAAATATTTATTCGTATCTGAGGTATAATGTGCCTTTAAACTGGCTAAAATATGTACATTTATTACAAATGATTTTGTATTATTTTTCAATATCATTACAGGCATGCAGGTCAGGCCATTTGAAAGACAGAGATGGGATTTTAGGAGAGTATGATACAGGTACAAATATAAAAGTGTCAGTCACCAATCTTTCCAACGTACAACCGACTACTGATGAATTTCGTGATGACAAAAAATTTATTAACGCAGTTGATAGATTAGCAGGCTCAAATCAGAGCGATTTGCCTCCGGATTGTAAGTTATTTTATGTTTATATTTTTAGTTTATTATTCATATTCTTTTCGACTTGAATAAAACAAGTTCTTTCAACTTAAAAGGTTTCATAATTTTTATCTCACCTGTCACAAAGTGACAGGGTGATCTTTTGTGATAGCTTTTCGTCCGGCGTCCGTCCGTCGTCCGTCCGTCGTCCGTCCGTAAACTTTTGCTTTAAATGACATCTCCTCATAAACCACTGAGCCAATTTCATCCAAACTTCACAGGAATGTTCCTTTGGTAGTCACCTTTAAAAATTGTTCAAAGAATTTAATTCCATGCAGAACTCTGGTTGCCATGGCAACCGAAAGAAAAATCTTTAAATATCTTCTTTTAAACAACCCTAGGGCTAGAGCTTAGATATTTGGCATGAAACATCTTCTAGTGAGTGTCTACCAACTTTGTTCAAATAAAAGCCCTGGGGTTAAAATTGGCCCCGCCCCAGGGGGTCATAGATTTTCCCTATATGTATATAGTAAAAACTTAAAAAATCTTCTTTTAAAGAACCCAAAGAGCTAGAGCTAAGATATTTAGCATGAAACTTCTTCTAGTGAGTGTCTACCAACTTTGTTCAAATAAAAGCCCTGGGGTCAAAATTGGCCCCGCCCAGGGGGTCATAGATTTTCCCTATATGCATATAGTAAAAACTTAAAAAATCTTCTTTTAAAGAATCGTAAGAGCTAGAGCTAAGATATTTGGCATGAAACATCTTCTAGTGAATGTCTACCAAGTTTGTTCAAATAAAAGCCCTGGGGTCAAAATTGGCCCCGCCCCAGGGGGTCATTGATTTTCCCTATATGCATATAGTAAAAACTTAAAAAATCTTCTTTTAAAGAACCCAAAGAGCTAGAGCTAAGATATTTGGCATGAAACATCTTCTAGTGAGTGTCTACCAAGTTTGTTCAAATTAAAGCCCTGGGGTCAAAATTGGCCCCGCCTCGGGGGGTCATTGATTTTCCCTATATGCATATAGTAAAAACTTAAAAAAATCTTCTTTTAAAGAACCATAAGAGCTAGAGCTTAGATATTTGGCATGAAACGTCTTCTAGTGAATGTCTACCAAGTTTGTTCAAATAAAAGCCCTGGGGTCAAAATTGACCCCGCCCCAGGGGGTCATAGATTTTCCCTATATGCATTTAGTAAAAACTTAAAAAATCTTCTTTTAAAGAACCCAAAGAGCTAGAGCTAAGATATTTAGCATGAAGCATTTTCTAATGAGTGTCTACCAAGTTTGTTCAAATAAAAGCCCTGGGGTCAAAATTGGCCTCGCCCCAAAAACTTTAAAAATCTTCTTTTAAAGAACTCAAAGAGCTAGATCTAAGATATTTAGCATGAAACATGTTCTAATGGGTGTCTACCAAGTATGTTCAAATAAAAGCCCTGGGGTCAAAACTGGCCCCGCCCGGGGGGGTCATTGATTTTCCTTATATGTGTATAGCAAAAACTTAAAAATCTTCTTTGAAAAAACCCAAATAGCTAGAGTTTAGATATTAAACATGAAACATCTTTAAGTAAATATCTAAAGCCTGGGGCGGGGCCAATTTTGACCCCAGGGCTTTTTATTTGAACAAACTTGGTAGACACTCATTAGAAGATGTTTCATGCTAAATATCTTAGCTCTAGCTCTTTGGGTTCTTTAAAAAAGTTTCTACTATATATATGCATATAGGGAAAATCAATGTGGGACGGGCCAATTTTGACCCCAGGGCTTTTATTTGAACAAACTTGGTAGACATTCACTAGAAGATGTTTCATGCCAAATATCTAAGCTCTAGCTCTTACGGTTCTTTAAAAGAAGATTTTTTAAGTTTTAACTATAATTTTGCATATAGGGAAAATCAATGACCCCCTGGGGCGGGGCCAATTTTGACCCCAGGGCTTTTATTTGAACAAACTTGGTAGACACTCACTAGAAGATATTTCATGTCACAAATATCTTAGCTCTAGCTCTTTGGGTTCTTTAAAAGAAGATTTTTTAAGTTTTTTACTATATGCATATATGGGAAAATCTTATGACCCCATGGGGCAGGGGCCAATTTTGACCCTCAGGGCTTTTATTGAACAAACCTTGGTTAGACACTCACTAGAAGATGTTTCAATGCTAAATATCTTAGCCTCTAGCTCTTGGGTTCTTTAAAGAAAGATTTTTTAAGTTTTTACTATGATGCATATAGGGAAAATCAATGAACCCCCTGGGGCAGGACCAATTTTTGACCGCCAGGGCTTTTATTTTTGAACAAACTTGGTAGACATTCACTCAAATGGAAGATGTTTCATGCCAAATTATCTAAGCTCTAGCTTTTACAGTTCTTTAAAACAGAAGATTTTTAAGTTTTTTTACTATATGCATATAGGGAAAATCCAATGACCCCCCCGGGGGCCAGGGGCCAATTTTGACCCAAAGGGCCTTTTATTTGAACAAACTTGGTAGACACTCACTAGAAGATGTTTTCACTGCCAATTTTTTAGTTTGGGGCCTTCTGGGTCAAAAAAAAATGTTTAAGGGGGAAATTTAAAAAAAATCATATAGGGAATTTCAGCGGGGCGGGGCCCCAAAAATTTGCCCTAGGGGCTTTTTATTGAACAAAAATTGGAAAAATCAAAGAAAATTTTCACAAATACCAATTTTTAGCCTCCTTTAGGGAAATTTTTTAAAAAAGTTGAAAGGGATTTATTCTTTCGTTTTGCCAAATAGGGAACCGATTTTTCCTTACTTTAAATGGAAGCCCCTGAACCAATTTTGATAGAGCCCAAATAAAAAAGACCCAAAAACAAAAATTGGTTTTTTGCGGAAATAAATAGAAAATTCCTTGGGTCATTAAATTTTTTTAAAAAAAAGGCGCCAGAGCGGACCGCCCAAATCTTGTTTGGCCAACCTAAAACTCACCTTCATTTTGAATTTTTGGCGTAAAAAAACTAATGTACAATGTTGCTTTTTTGCAGCAGACATCCAGGCCCTTCATGGTTTTGCTCAACTGACACTCCAGGAACCAAAGGATCATGTTACTCCAATCCCATGCCCTGAAGATTGCCTTGTTATGTATCCAGCCATGCCTGGTATGTATTCTGTTGCGTAAAGTAAATATCTTGTTCTGTTAAGTGGGTATCAAATTCTGTAATGTTACATGTAGAATTAATTTTGTTCTGTTAAAGCTACAATCTCACTGACATCCCGGCAGAGCCCCGGTAGATGTCGGCGCCATCCCGGAATGACCGGGAAAGCACCGGCATGAACCGTAGCTCACCTGGGCTCTGCCTTGATGATCCGGGTTAGTGTGACCGCAACAATAATTTCACCCTGGATCATCTCGGTAACTTACGTGGATGGTCCTTTGCTCTGCTGGGAGTAAGTGAGACTGCAGCTTAAGTAAGAATAAAATTCTGCAATGTTTTCTGTTGGGTAATGTACAAATCCTGAAGATTACAGGATGTAGAATTAAAGGCACATTATGCCTCTGAAATTCATATTTTTGTTATTGTTTAGAAATTTGAAATAAATGTTTAATAATGTTTTAATAATTACTAGAGCATATCAGATGTATTATAACTGAAGACAGCTAGTAGTGCTGGATGTGAAGTAACATGTCATGAAGGTAGCAAAATGTATCAAAGAATTTAAAGCAAAAGCTAGTCATCTATATGACAAACAAGTATCTTACTGCTACTGTATCAAGATACAAATAATAAAAAGTTTTTGAGAAATAAAAAATGATAGCATTTCTGGGGCTATGTGACCTTTGTAGAAAGGGCAAGAAGGAAAATAATACACAATAACAGAGATTTTCCTTTTTATATAACAGACTCCTATAAAAGGCCTCTTCCCAATTGAAATTTATTTTAAAATCACACAGTTTTCCCAAAAATCTGAACTTAAATCTGCTCTTTTAAACTTGCCAAATTTGCAATTTTAGCAAATTGAATAGATTTTTCCCAAAATCAAGAGGCTTAAATCATTGAATAACACAAATTCTGTTGTATTTTTCATGATCATTTTTTACAAACACTGTTATAAAGTATATAAGCCACTTCATTGGAAGCACCTTGTTCTGCTGTTAGCTTAAACTTTTGAAAATGTGAAAATTGACAAAAATATCTTTTTTATGTGAATAAATAAGAATGAATCATGTATGTATTATATTCAAAAAATCACCTTGTGCTAGGAATGATGTTGCATTCACACAATAAAATTGTTTTCGAAGATTGGTTTGCAGAGCATCTTATTAATTTACATAAATTTGGAAAGTTAAATCAACACAAATATAATTATTGTTTCGCATATTTCAGGAAAATTGTCTTTTAGATTTGAAGGAATAGGGTCATACATGATCAGCTATATGTTCCTGGAAAAGTTTCGAAACTTACTGCTACAAGAAAAGTGTGACATCTTACAGTATTTGACATTCGTCAGTCATGCTATGGCAAAAACAGAAATTGAATTTGATCCTACAGTCGGGCTAGATGCAGACAAACAAAAGATGCTTCGAGATAATATGCCCTTTAAGATAACAGCTTGTCTCGACCACAGACTAACAAAAATTTTGAAATTTCACCCAAAGCCAAACGCTGTGTGGCAAAAACTGAAAGAAGAAGGAGCATCATTTAAATTTTAGTGTTTCAAAATTAAAATACCGGCACCGATTATTACTACGGAGAGGGCTATAGTGGAACCTCTTTGACCTGTCAGCCAAACCCATCATTCAGACCGACAATTAATCAGCCTCTACGATATATGTTTCTATAAATCCTACACTCCTTGACAGATTTTCTTCAAACTTTACTCAAATGTTCACTTCCAATAGTAGATGTGCAGTGCACACATCACTGCTGTGCCAGCTCAAATGTTGACCTCAGCAAGATAATTTGAAGAACCTATTCCACTGCTTTGCTGGCACAGGGTCAAGGTCACACATGAAGGTCAAATGTCAGACAGTGTCATGTCCAATCTATATTTCCAATATCTCTTGAAGGATTTTCTACAAACTTGACTCATTTGTTCAGGTTAACAACGTGATGTGCAGATTCCATGTCACTGCTGTGTCAGTTCAGGGTCACACTTGAAGGTCAAAATGTCAAACAAACTTGGGTCTGCTCCTTGATCCACTTATCTCTTGAAAGGGTTTTGTAAACTTTGGCTCAAATGTTCTGCATAACAAGGCAATATGCAGAAGTTATACCACTTCTGTACCAACTCAAGGCCAAAGTCAGACCAAAAGATAAATATCAGACAATTTTTCGTCCTCTCAATATATCCTATACCTTTTGAATGTTTTTCTTTAAACTGTGCCAGCTAAAGGTCAAGGTCACATTGGAAGATATCATTCAGGCATTTTTCCACCCTTTGAAACATTTGCTTCCAGTACTATGGCTTGTTTAACAAGGTCAAGTGCCGAACCCTTGCCATGCTTGTGTTAGATCAAGGTTGATTATTAGTTGTTTCCACCTTAATGTTTTAACTTGGCTCAAATGTTCATATCAACAAGATGATGTACAGAGCCAATGCTGTGGCCTTGCAAGGTCAAGGTCACTCTTTAAGGTAAAATGTTTCAATGATATTTTTGTGTCGGCAGAAATTATTGTGTGTTCACACTATGAATTCAATATTCTTTGAAAGACTTTAATGTGTCAGCACAAATTATTTTGTGTTAACACAATAAATTCTATACACTTTGAAAGACTTTCTAATGTTTACCTTAAGAAAATGATGAATAAACTTACATAAAGATACATGTATGTGTAAATGAAATGGTAGGGCTCTAATGGTCACTTCTGTGACAGCTATAATTTTGTACTGATTTAGAACAATGTTTTTTGTTTTGAGAAGCATTGCAATATTTGAATTATTAATTCAGGTGCCAAACTGCCTTCAATCAATTAAGCATTGCAATATTTCATTTGTTTTTTAGCTTACCTGTCACAAAGTGACAGGGTGAGCTTTTGTGATCGCTTTTCGTTCGGTGTCCGTCTGTCCGTAAACTTTTGCTTCAAATGACATCTCCTCATAAACCACTAAGCCAATTTCATCCAAACTTCACAGGAATGTTCCTTTGGTGGTCACTTTTAAAAATTGTTCAAAGAATTTAATTCCATGCAGAACTCTGGTTGCCATGGCAACCGAAAGAAAAAACTTTAAATATCTTCTTTTAAAAAGCCCAAAGAGCTAGAGATTAGATATTTGGCATGAAACATCTTCTAGTAAGTGTCTACCAAGTGTGTTCAAATAAAAGCCCTGGGGTCAAAATTGGCCCTGCCCCAGGGGGTCATTGATTTTCCCTAAATACATATAATAAAAACTTAAAAATTATTCTTTTAAAGAAACCATGGAGCTAGAGCTAAGATATTTAGCATGAAACATCTTCTAGTAAGTGTCTACCATGTTTGTTCAAATAAAAGCCCTGGGGTCAAAATTGGCCCCGCCCCAGGGGGTCATTGATTTTCCCTATATGCATATAGTAAAAACTTAAAAAATCTTCTTTTAAAGAACCCATAGAGCTATAGCTAAGATATCTAGCATGAAACATCTTCTAATAAGTGTCTACCAAGTTTGTTCAAATAAAAGCCCTTGGGTCAAAATTGGCCCCGCCCCAGGGGGTCATTTATTTTCTCTATATGCATATAGTGAAAACTTAAAAAATCTTCTTTTAAAGAACCCAAAGAGCTAGGGCTAAGATATTTAGCATGAAACATGTTCTAATGGGTGTCTAAAAGGTTTGTTCAAATAAAAGCCCTGGGGTCAAAATTGGCCCTGCCCCGGGGGTCATTGATTTTTCCTATATGCATAATAGTAAAAACTTAAAAAAATTTCTTTTAAAGAACCCATAGAGCTAGAGCTAAGATATTTAGCATGAAACATCTTCTAATAAGTGTCTACCAAGTTTGTTCAAATAAAAGCCCTGGGGTCACAATTGGCCCCGCCCCAGGGGGTCATTGATTTTCCCTATATGCATATAGTAAATACTTAAAAAATCTTCTTTTAAAGAACCCATAGAGCTAGAGCTAAGATATTTAGCATGAAACATCTTCTAATAAGTGTCTACCAAGTTTGTTCAAATAAAAGCCCTGGGGTCAAAATTGGCCCCGCCCCAGGGGGTCATTGATTTTTCCTATATGCATATAGTAAAAACTTTAAAAATCTTCTTTTAAAGAACCCAAAGAGCTAGAGCTAAGATATTTAGCATTAAACATGTGCTAATGGGTGTCTACAAAGTTTGTTCAAGTAAAAGCCCTGGGGTCAAAATTGGCCTGGCCCCAGGGGGTCATTTATTTTCCTTATATGTGTATAGCAAAAACTTAAAAAATCTTCTTTGAAAAAACCCAAATAGCTAGGGTTTAGATATTAAGCATGAAACATCTTCTAGTGAGTGTCTACAAAGTTTGTTCAAGTAAAAGCCCTGAGGTCAAAATTGGCCCTGCCCTGTGGGTCATTGATTTTCCTTATATGTGTATGGCAAAAACTTAAAAATCTTCTTTGAAAAACCCAAATAGCTAGAGTTTAGATATTAAGCATGAAACATCTTCTAGTAAGTGTCTACAAAGTTTGTTCAAATAATAGCCTTGGGGCTTAAACTGGCCCCGCCCCAGAGGTGTCATTGTTTTTAACTATATATGTGTATAGTAAAAACTGAAAAAATCTTCTTTTAAAAATCCCAATGAGCTAGAGGTTAGATTGCAGAAAACATCTTTTTGTGGGTGTCTACCAAGTTTGATCAAATAAAAGCCCTTGGGTTAAAATTGGCCCTGCCAAAGGGGGGTTGGGGAGGTCATTGTTTTTCATTATATGTTTGTAGTAAAAACTTAACATCATGAAACATCTTCTAATGAGTGTCTTCCAAGTTTGTTCAAATAAAAGCCCTGGGGTTTAAACTAGCCCCGCTCCGGGGGCCTAAATACAGGTGAGCGACCTCAGGGCCATCATGGCCCTCTTGTATAAATTTAGGTGCCAAACTGCCATCAATCAATAAGCATTGCAATATTTGAATTATTTACAAAATTCAGGTGCCACACTGCCTTCATTGATTAAGCATTGCAGTATTTGAATTATTTACAAATTCAGGTGCCAAACTGCCTTTAATCAATTAAGCATTGCAATATTTGAATTATTTACAAATTCAGGTGCCACACTGCCATCAATCAATTAAGCATTGCAATATTTGAATAATTTATAAATTCAGGTGTCAAACTGCCTTCAATCATGTGAATCATGTTTTTTTATTTTTATTGTTATTGTTAAGTTTCAAAAGTAATCATGTCTGCATCCATGTATATATATGTATTACATCATTATTTTACAAAAAATGTTTCGAAATATTTGGTTTATACAGAATTTATTTTAGTTTGATTGTATAGGAAGCTATAAGCTTATAGACACATTTTCAAATACTTTCCTGGAACCAACCAGTACTGAGCAATGAGTGTAAAGTTTTTTGCTCAAGGAAACAACGTCTTGCTCCTGACAGGGTTTGAACCCATGCGGCTAGCGATCATTAGCTAGACCGACACGTTAACCACTCTGCCATGCTGCCACTGTTTCAAAAAATATTTAATCAAGCATCAGCCTTCAATAATTGGGAGACAAGAAGAAAAATTAATTTACCATCTTTTTAAATAAAACAGGCTTTCGTCTTTAGCAGGGTGCTGGGGTTCCAATTGAAACAGAATTTCGTCTTTAGCAGGGTGCTGGGGTTCCAAATGAAACAGGATTTCGTCTTTAGCACGGTGCTGGGGTTCCAAATGAAACAGGATTTTGTCTTTAGCAGGGTGGGGTTCCAAATGAAACAGGATTTCGTCTTTAGCACGGTGCTGGGGTTCCAAATGAAACAGGATTTCGTCTTTAGCACGGTGCTGGGGTTCCAAATGAAACAGGATTTCGTCTTTAGCAGGGTGCTGGGGTTCCAAATGAAACAGGATTTCATCTTTAGCAGGTTGCTAGGGTTCTAAATAAAACAGGATAATGTCTTTAGCAGGGTGCTGGGGTTCCAAATGAAACAGGATTTTTTCTTTGGCAGGTTGCTTAACAAGGTTTTCATTCTTTAGCAGAGCACTTGGGCTCCTAATGAAATGGGTTCTTCATTCTTTGACAAGGTGCTTGGTTTACATTTAAAACAAGGTTTTTCCTTCTTAAAGCAGCACGCCTCCAGATTCATGCTTATTTTCATGAAAATTTTGAAAATGTATTTGAATGTACTGTATCATATTGTGAAATAACCAAAAGGAAGCAATTTACACATTATCAATGGCACTTACAACCCATGTAAATTACAAAAAAGTGGTCAAAATATGCATAAATAGCCCTTACTGCGTTTGTTAAGCAGTAGAAATATACTTGTAAATACCGAAAAATCAGTCATTAACCGCATATAACATGTAAAATATTACTTGAATCTTGAATCATTTTACCTTTCCTAAAATTTTTGTACATATTTCTCACGTTTGATTTTATTGAAATATTTTGACTCATCTGGAGGCAAGCAGCTTTAAAATAAATAGCTTGGTGCTTGGTTAGGAAATGAAACAGGATTTTTCCTAGTTTGGCAGTAGCCTGGCCAAAATGGCAAAATTGAAAATGTTGCAGACTTAGTTTGATTTAGCTAATTATAGATGGTACTGGTAAATTCAGAATTCCGTCTATGTCTCTGAAGCAGTATTTAACATTTATACATGACAATGGTGGAAGTTGTTAGAATTAAGAAACATCCCCAAATGTTTTCATGATATTTTCAAACTTTTTTTGAGTCACATTTAAATGTATCATGTTCACTGGTCATTTTATTTAGATTTTAATTTTATTAAAGACTTTGTTTTACCATGGATTTATACAAACACTTCACAGATTATGTATTTCCATTGATTTATGCAAACACTAACAACGAATGTGTGTTACCATTGATTTATGCAAACATTAAGTCCAACAAACTATGTATTACCATTGTTTTTTGCTAGTACAATCATAAATTTGTATTACCATTGATTTATGCAAACATCTACAAACTATGTATTACCACTGAATTATGCAAACATTAAAAGACTTTGTATTACCATTGATTTATGCAAACACTTTATAGATTATGTACTATAACCATTGATTTATGCAAACACTTAACAGATTATGTACTATAACCATTGATTTATGCAAACACTGAACAGATTATGTACTATAACCATTGATTTATGCAAACACTGAACAGATTATGTACTATAACTATTGATTTATGCAAACACTGAACAGATTATGTACTATAACCATTGATTTATGCAAACACTGAACAGATTATGTACTATAACCATTGATTTATGCAAACACTGAACAGATTATGTACTATAACTATTGATTTATGCAAACACTGAACAGATTATGTACTATAACCATTGATTTATGCAAACACTTAACAGATTATGTATAACCATTGATTTATGCAAACACTTAACAGATTATGTACTATAACCATTGATTTATGCAAACACTGAACAGATTATGTATTACCTTTGATTTATGCAAACATTACTGAATTATTTATCATTGTCCATCATTGTATTGTATTTTATTGAGATGCTGTTATTATATTTTGTGTTGGGTCAAGAGCTCATTGGCCTGAACCAGTATGTTGTTGTCCATACATGGTCAATTCTTCTTTTTTTTCATCTTATATGAGCGGCGTCACGACAAAACCAACATAATGGGTTTGCGACCAGCATGGATCCAGAACAGCCTGCGCATCCGCATCCGCGCAGTCTGATCAGGATCCATGCTGTTCGCTTACAAACCCTATAACAAGTAAAGAAACTGATAGCAAACAGCATGGATCCTGATCAGACTGCTCAGGCTGGTCTGGATCCATGCTGGTCGCAAACGCATTATGTTGGTTTTCTCATGACACGGCTTAAATACAGGTTGTTTTTATATATCTTTGCATGAATGTATTTTGAGGCACAGTGTTGGTTGTGTGGAAGATTCAGGTCCTTGTGGCCAAGGTCAAGGTCACATGCAGATGTCAAAGGTCAGATATGAAAATGAGGGTAATAAAGATTGGTGTTGCTTTCATTTTGTAACAGCCAAGATAACCAATATCATCATTCCAGTTTTGGCGCTATATGTCCTAAATTGTGTTGGTGCGTTGTAAAACCAAACAAACAAAGCTAAGGGTATTTATTTATGCCCTCTTATTTGAAATGTTAAGTTCTCCACAAAACTATACTATATTTAAACATTAAGCACAAACTGTTTCAGTCCTTTATATATGGAAAGATCCATTTATTAAAATAATAATTAATTTGACGCTAGGCCACCTAATTTCTGGGACAGTCCCGGACGTTTTGGCATGTATGGTATGTGATGGCAGTTCCGGGTGACGAGGGATAACAACATGTCTTCATCTGTATAACATTTGTTGACCATCACAGATCACCCATCAAGGACCTGCAACCTTACACCTCATTTAAATTTGTAAATAAAAGAAAACCTTTTATATTTCTTAAGGAAATATTTATATTTGAATTTTTTTTTTATTTCTAGGGCAACTTTTATATTTCTAAGGAAATTTTTTGATTTCTAGAGCAACTTTTATATTTCTAAGGAAACTTTTACATTTTTCAGGAAATTTTTATATTTCTAAGGAAACTCATACAGTCTAACTTGCCCATGCGACCACGTGTATTAAGCGACTTTTGTCTTATGCGGCCACTTTGAATTCCCCCCGATCATTTTCTCTCTATATCTTTAGTGTATTTAGCGACTTTTGCTCAACGCGACCGACCGCTAATTAGTCAGCTAATTGAAATCAATTTTTTCATTAAACGACCACTTTACCTGTTTTTAGTGAACGCCGCCTCGTAATGTCACAAGTGTCAACAATCAAAACACAATTTAAAAATGTGTGAAAAACTCTATTTGCCAAACCGTTTTAGTGTATGCAAATGAAGGTAGGTATACGCGTGACGTGTATTATCCAATAATATCGATAAAACAATGCAACTCTCCGCCCCTACTCAGATGGTGTATGCGCTCAGCTGTTGATATTTAAAGACTGCATAGAATTGACCTTGAACTTGATCAGCAATAAAATTAATTGTTACAATCAGATGTAGTTTGTTTATTTCAAATGAAAAATGTACACCAGAAAGCGCTTCACATATTAGGGTTTTCATGTTTGAGACAAGGAAATACAACGGAGAAGTTCAAAAATTCGGGAAAAAATGTCAAACATGTACGTAATAGATCAAAACTGTTTTCTCAATAAATATCAGACAGTTATTTTATACAGTAGCATCCATTTAGATTATCGGAGCGTTCTAATTATTAAACATTTGTATTAATGAAGTTGAAAAACATTCCGCAAAATAAAGATGTCATGTATAAATTTTGATTTTTTATCATGCTTTGTCTTAAGAAACCGTTTAATTAAGTGACCGTTTTGGGTGTTTCCCGTGCGCGGTCGCTTAATGCAAGTATGACTTTACATGTATTTCTATGGACTCTTTTATATTTCTAGGGAACCTGTCATATTTTTTGGTAATCTTCCATATTTCTATGGAATCTTTTATATTTCCAGGGAATCTTTTACATTTCTAGGGAAACTGTCATATTTCTATGAAAATTTTATGATTTCTAGGGAAACTTAAATATTTCTAAGGAAACTTACATATTTCTTGTAAAAAGTTATCATAGACATTTTTCTTTGTAGTCATTTTCATTTATGCTTCAAATTACAGATATATTTAGCATTTCTTTCATTTTCTTTGTGCATGCAAACAGGTAAATAAAGTTTATAATCATCTGTCATGATAGAGTTGTTTGTTCTGTTTGACACGTGTATTCAGTTGTCCGTCTGCCCGCTCATTATCAACCCGGTGACAATAAGATCCATTCAAAAATCAATGTGACCCCTTGAGATTTAGGCATCCGAATTTGGGAAAAAAAACATTTTTAACACTGTGTAGTAAATTAAAAATCAGGACTATTGAGCTTTTGCAAATAATCAATAATTTGTACGGGTTACCATAGTGGTTAAAGTTACATTAAATAAATATGTAAAAATATTTTGCCGTCGGCCTAAAAACCAAGCATTATACAGTTTCATAAACCTTTTTAACAGTTATGTTGTAAATCTCATCAAATATTGTTCATAAATTAGGATTTTAAACAGAAAACCCCACGGTAACACTAAGTTCGTATACGAATTTTAACATGCAAATGAAGACTATAATCAGCTCGTGTATATGCGCTACGTCACGGTGTTATAGTTACTATCCGGAACACAGCAAATATAAGATTTTCTTGTGCAAACACACTTATACCGTTTAAGCTTCACGGTGCACTTTGCCTGGGGTTCAGAAAAACGTAATCATGTCATAAAAAATGAATTTTTTGAAAGTATTCGTTACAATGCGGACATATATCGTAAAGTTAGAACTGCTTAGAATAGTCATGTTTGTTGATTTAATACTGATGTACGGATGAACTACAGGCGGAAAGGCGGAGGTTCTCATGCAAACAGAAATTGTACATCGGATTTCGCCAAAATTAGGTTGCACACTGTTATGCTTTTCAAATTCATTTTGGTTGTCTGGACACCAAAATATGATCTGGAGTCGATATGAAACCCAATTTATTAATGAAATATCGAGATTTCTTTTTTATGAAATTTATTTAATGTAACTTTAAGGTCATTGACTTCAAACCACTAGCCCCTCATTGTTGTTGGTAAGAAATGTTGCGAGGATTCTTTCATGTTAGTAAGCTTTCCAGCTAGCTTACATCAGTGGTTATACACGAGTGCCTGTTCATACCTGAAATAATACACGGAAGGACAGATGAGGTCTTTGTCCACCCATACAGCTAAAAAGTCACTATATGACCTTGTCAGTGTTGATGTGATGTAAAACCCAACAACTACGAAACAAAATGAGCCGCGTCACGACAAAACCAACATAGTGCGTTTGCAACCAGCATGGATCCAGACCAGCCTGCACTTTCGGGCAGTCTGATCAGGGTCCATACTGTTCGCTATCAGTTTCTCTACTTATTATAGGGTTTGTAAGCGAACAGCATGGATCCTGATCAGACTGCGCAGATGCAAATTTAAATTTAATATCTTAAGCTGCCTGTATGTGATGTTCAGCATGACGTATTTATTATACACATAATATTTCTACTTAACTGCTTTAAATAATTATTTATTATTAAGAACATCGCTGAGGTCCAAAAGCCTAAAAATATAAAAGTAGAAAATCTTATACAATATAGATCATATAGATCAAACACTGGCACTTACAATGAAAAAAAAAAATGAAAAAGATTATTGTTATCCTCTGAATTAAATTGAATATCTATATTTTGCCAATTCTCAGCCAAATTTGAGTTAAAAACATTTTCATTTTTAGGCCATTTTGCAATTCTAGAAAAACTGAACGAGCGAATGGACATAAGTTATTATCCCCCGCCGATGGAATCGGGAGGGGGATATAGTTTTGGCGTTGTCCGTCCGTCCTTCCGTCCGTCCGTCCATCCGTATTTCGTTTCCGGAGTAGTTCTCTGCAACTAATGGCTGGAATTCAACGAAACTTTATGGGAATGTTGATCAGCATGTGAAGTTGTGCACCTGGGTATTTTCGTCTGGATATTTTTAGTATTTTTAGAGTTATTGCCCTTGACTTAGTAAAATCTGTCCGAGTTTCGTTTCCGGAGTACTTCTCTGCAACTAATGGCTGGAATTCAACGAAACTTTATGGGAATGTTGATCAGCATGTGAAGTTGTGCACCTGGGTATTTTCGTCTGGATATTTTTAGTATTTTTAGAGTTATTGCCCTTGACTTAGTAAAATTTTGCAATTTTCAACTTGTGTCGCATGTTACTCAAAAAGTATTTGACCTAGAGTCATGAAACTTTACAGGAATGTTGATCAGTATGTGTAGTTGTGCACCTGGGTATTTTCGTCTGGATATTTTGAGTATTTTTAGAGTTATTGCCCTTGACTTAGTAAAATTTTGCAATTTTCAACTTGTGTCGCATGTAACTCAAAAAGTATTTGACCTAGAGTCATGAAACTTTACAGGAATGTTGATCAGTATGTGTAGTTGTGCACCTGGGTATTTTCGTCTGGATATTTTTGTATTTTTAGAGTTATTGCCCTTGATTTAGTAAAATTTTGCAATTTTCAACTTGTGTCGCATGTAACTCAAAAAGGATTTGACATAGAGTCATTAAACCTTATTGGAAAGTTGCTCAGCATATTTAGTTTGTTCTTTGGGTTTCGCTTGTGGATTTATCCAGTATTTGTAGAGTTATTTCCCTTGACTTAGTAAAAACTGTTTCATTATGATGTTATTTGATCCTTGAGTGCTTGAGTTAGAATCGACCAACTTTACAGGAATAATGATCAACATCACTAAATTACAGGAATAATGATTCACCTCACTGTGAAGCTATGAACTTTGGACTTTGCATGTGGATTTTTTTCAGTTTTGTTAGAGTTATTGCCCTTGAATTACAGTAGTATAGATTTGCAATTTTCAACTTGGGGTTTGCTTGGGGATTTATTCAGTATTTGTAAAGTTCTTGCCCTTTACTTAGTAAAAAGATTTTTAGTTTTCAAAAATAATTGACCTAGAGTCATAAGATTGACAGAACAGTGGCGCAGTGGGGGCACCCGTATCCTATGATATAACCTATAGGTCCTCTACCAAAATTGTTCAAATTTTAGCCCTGGGGTCAAAATTGGCCCCACTCCAGGGGGTCATAGATTTTCCTTATATGTATATAGTGAAAACTTAAAAATTCTTCTTGTTTGAAGGTACAAGGCTTCAAGTTCAAAGAATATTACAGTTTATGCCATGATTAATATATAAATAAAGCCTTATGAATTCAGTTGTTGTGTTAACAATAACCAGTACTCGGCGGGGGATATAAATTCAACGAATTTGCTTGTTTGTAAAGACCTACATCAATGGTATGAAAATCTCCCAAAGGATATTACAAATCCTTTCAACTAAAGAACAAACCTCAGTAGAGTTCTTTTTAAATTTATTACACAGTATAAAATATAAATTCAGTATCAATATAATTTTTTTTTTTTTTGACAGGTTATATGGTCGTGTAAAGGTGATTATTTGCTATATAACCCTCACCTAGCGGCTCTGGTTTACAACCATATAATCTCTGGGCCATTAAACCTGTCAAAATCTTTCAAACTATTAATCAAGAAGTTATTATAATCCCCGACAGTGATTTTATTGCAAAATAAAATCACTGTTTGGGAGTTCTGATGTAAGGAATTATATCACTAGGGAGAAGCCAAACTCGGACATAATGTTGAGCATCCGAACCAAAAACAGTGATTTTCTTAAGCGATTATAAAAATCACTGCTTGGGATATATTATTTTGATTCTAACATGATGCATCTACAAATAAATACTGCCATACCTGAGGGCAAGCTAAATTGTGCATGATTTGTATAGATACTTATTTTCACCGCTCAGATTACGTCACATGTCTAAAAATAGATCATTGATTTTATTGCGTATTTACACACACGTTTGGTCCTTATCTCTGTTCCAAGAGAGGAAAATATGGGTCATGTTACAAAATTTAATATACAACACTTAATAAATACAACACATTTTTAAAACATGTGATAGATACATGTAGTTTATATTAACAATAATTGTAAAAACAAGGTCTGTGAGAAGGACAGCATGCTTGACTATTCTTGATGCTAGATAGTAAACCAAGAGCCTGAATAATGCAGAATTTTCCGAGTTCATAAAGGGCCATAATTCTGTCAAAATCTCTGTTAAGAATTTTGGGCCTTGGCCAGTAACCTCTTTTGCTCTCAAGCATGTGAAGTTTCGACCCATTCTTCAGTAGTTTTAGAGATTCGACCTTGCATGCAAATACTTAATCAAAGTGTGACGGTCAGACGCCGACATCAACGACATGTGAGAATTATAAATAGCTTTCCCTAATCTATTGAAATAATCAAGCTAATAACGATAAAAAAATTGCAAGTCATATTTAACATTCAATAAAGCTAAAAAGACAGTACCTGCTATAGACAAAAATCATGAGTACAATATAATAAAAAGTCCCTGGATATACTTACATAACACATATAAACAAGAATTTGTAACAGAGTTACCAACGTCCCCCGCCCCAGGAGTTTTATATGAAGCATAAAATTGTGCTATTTCAAAAGATTGAGGTATGGATCTCAGGACATTCAGTCCAAAATTATGATCAATGCTAGATCTGCAAATGTAACAATAAATTTGTTAAAAAAATAAAATGAAACACGGAATTTAAAAATCTATCATGTTAAGCTTTGACCTCTAAGTGTGACCTTGACCTTGGAGGTAGGGGAGCAGGTGTTGTGCATGACATAACGTTTTATTATTGAGACTATTTGTGCCAAGTATTTTCAAAATCCCTTGAACTATGAAGAAGTTATAGATTGGACACAAAATATACCCTATAACAGACTATGTAAATCTTTGACCTCTAAGTGTGACCTTGACCTTGGAGGTAGGGACACAGATGTTACGCATGACATATCATCTAATCATTGTGACTATTTGTGCCAAGTATTTTCAAAATCCCTTAATCTATGAAGAAGTAATGGATGGGACAAAAAATATACCAAATAACAGACTCTGTTAACCTTTGACCTCTAAGTGTGACCTTGACCTTAAGAGGAAGGGGTGCAGGTGTTGTACCTGACATATCGGCTTATTATTGTGACTATTTGTGCAAAGTTATTTCAAAATCCCTTGAACTATGAAAAAGTTCTAGATTCAACACAAAATATACCCTATAACATTCTATGTTAATTTTTGACCTCTAAGTGTGACCTTGACCTTGGAGGTAGGGATGCAGGTGTTGCGCATGACACATCCTCTTATCAAAGTGACTATTTGTGCAAAGTATTTTCAAAATCCTTTGATCTATGAAAAAGTTTTAGACCGGACAAAAAATATACCCTGTAACAGACTATGTAAGTATTTGACCTCCCAGTGTGACCTTGACCTTGGAGGTAGGTGACCGGTTTTTGCGCATGACACATCATCTGATTATTGTGAACAATTATGGCAAGTATTTACAAAATCCCTTCATAGAAAAGAAAGTTATGGACCGGACACGACATATACGCTCAAATAGACAATGTTGACCTTGAATGAGCAAGTACGACCTTGACCCTGAAGGTACGGGTCTGGTTGTTGCGCATGACACATCGTCTTATTATTGTGAACAATTATGGCAAGTATTTACAAAATCCCTTCATAGAAAAGAAAGTTATGGACCGGACACGACATATACGCTCAAATAGACAATGTTGACCTTGAATGAGCAAGTACGACCTTGACCCTGAAGGTACGGGTCTGGTTGTTGCGCATGACACATCGTCTTATTATAACAAACATTTCTGCCAAGTTATCTCAAATTCCCTTGATAAATGACAAAGTTATGGACCGGACACGAAATATACCCTGTAACAGACTATGTTAATATTTGACTTCCAAGTGTGACCTTGACCTTGAAGGTAGGTGACTGGTTTTTGCGCATGACACATCATCTGATTATTGTGAACAATTATGGCAAGTATTTACAAAATCCCTTCATAGATAAGAAAGTTATGGACCGGACACGACATATACCCTCAAATAGGCAATGTTGACCTTGAATGAGCAAGTGTGACCTTGACCCTGGAGGTAGGGGTCTGGTTGTTGCGCATGACACATCGTCTTATTATAATAAACATTTGTGCCAAGTAATTTAAAATTCCTTTCATAAATGACAAAGTTAAGGACCGGACACGAGAGTCTGACCGACAGACGGACGGACGGACAGACGGACGGAGCCTATTTCTATATCCCCCTTTTTTCTTTGAAAAGGCGGGGGACAATAAAGACGTTCAATTTACACAAACATGAAATCTTGTTAAGATGTCACCAATGCAATTGTTCCCTGGACAGTGTTATTTTTACAAAATTTACAAATATTTAACACTTAGCCCACAGGTGTCAACAGATTCTAAACCAAGTCATACTCAGGACAGACCAAAATCATCAGTGCCATTTGATCATGGTCTGCACTGAACTCACTGTTCAGTCAGTGAAAACTTTTCAAAGGATAATAAAGAAAAAATATACTCAGAATTAAATTGAAAATTAAACTTTTGCATGAATTTCAGCCCAGTTTGAGTAAAAAGTGTTGCAATTATAAGTTTACAAGTCTTGAAAAAAAATACTTCCAGTCCTTTCATGACGAAAAGCCTCAGTGGAGTCCCTTTAAGAGGTTTACCCAATTAAAGGTGAAACAAAACTTATCTATTTTTAGCTTAAGTGACCTAAAATGTAAAAAAAAACTGACATATTTCCAAACCTATTTAACAACCTTTGATATATAGCCAATGAAATTTCAGCATTTACACCATTTGATGTTAAAATAGAAATCAATACTATCAGAATTAAGCTTCATTTTCATTACAAGAGTTCAAAAAAATCAAATATGGTAATATTGTTTTAATAATCTTATTTAAGATTCTCAAACAAGTTGTTACAAAGAATGTCTCGGCTTGAATATTGAAGGTAAACTGTGGAATAAAAACAGGTTTTAAAATATAAATCTAAAGTCAACGAGAAAATTGTGTCCATAGAACATGGCAGTTCGCTCATTCCATTAGAACAGTAAGTGATTCTTTAGATGGACAAAGAAAAGGCATAATGGATGGACAAGGATACATCTATTTGTATAGGAGCCCCATTCTACCCCCCCCCCAACTCATCCAAGTTAGGGCATAAAAAAGGGCATGTTTAGTCAAAATCTAGCCTAAATTAGTCAAAATCTAGTCAAAGTTAGTCAAAATCTAGTCTTAATAAGTCAAAATCTAGTCTAAAGTAGTCAATAATTATACTGTAGGTTAAAAAATAGGAGCATAATATATAGAGTATTCCATGATACAAAACAAAAAAAAGTAATTAAAGGAGCTCCACTAAGGTTCAAAAGCCTAAAATCAAAATAGTAAATTTTTGATAGATCAGCTGGGGCAGTTTAAACAAGATTTGCAAAAGATAATTAAAGCAGCACACCTCCAGCTTCATGCTAATTTTCATGAAAATTTTGAATATGTATTTGAATGTGTAATATTGTGTAGTAATCAAAAGAATGCAATTTACTCATTATTTATGGCACTTACAAACCATGTAAATAACCAAAAAGTGGTAAAAATATACATAAATAACCTTTACTGCTTTAGTAACGCAGTAGAAATATAGTTGTAAATACTAAAAAAATTTGTCATTAATCACAGATAATATGTAAAATATTACTTGAATTTTGAAACTTTTTCCTACACCTTAGTACATTTTTCTAAACTTTGAATTTATTGAAATATTTTGACTTATCTGGAGGAATGTAGCTTTAAGAAATATACTCGGAAATAGATAGAAAATCCTATTTTTGTGCTATTCTTAGCCAAATTTGATTGAAAAACATTGTAACGTTTTTCAATTTTCGGTCATATTTAATGATTAGACTAATTATTCACGAAAAAAGGAAGTGAGCGAATGATCTGAAATATTGCACACAAGCTATTGGTCTAGACCTACATCAAATAGATCTAGTACAAAAATCTCGAAAAAATTATTTTCAGTCATGTCATGACAAAAAGCCTCAGTGGAGTCCCTTTAAAATAATCAATGCCATGACATAAATTCAACAGGTTGAAGAACACTCTTTATCATTATCAGGTGTATTGATATAAAGTGCTTTATAAAGTATTGTACAAAAGTTCAAAATGAGCCCCGTCACGACAAAACCAACATAATGCGTTTGCTACCAGCATGGATCCAGACCAGCCTGCGCTTCCGCGCAGTCTGATCAGGATCCATGCTGTTCCCTTACAAACCCTATTACAAGTAGAAAAACTGATAGCGAACAGCAGGGATCCTGATCAGACTGCGCAGAAGCGCAGGCTGGTCTGGATCCATGATGGTCGCAAAAGCATTACGTTGGTTTTGTCCTGACGCGGCTCAAAATGTATCCCAAAACCAATTTTTAAAGCTGCATGCCTCCAGTTGAGCTAAAAATATTTCAAGAAAATCAAACATGAGAAAAATGTAACAAGATAATTAGAAAAGGAAACAGATTAAAGATTCAAGTAATAATTTACTTTTTATGTGCAATTAATGACTTTACATTGCTGTATTAATTATTACATTTCTACAGCGACACTGCAATGTGTTAATTACTGTTTTTTTTCACTACACAATATTTTACTTTTGAATACATTTTCAAAATTTTCATGAAAATAAGAATGAATCTGGAGGCATGCTGCTTTAACAACTCATCTAACACTAGTAATAATACAATGCGATTCAGCATTAAAAATGTTTTACACACTTCAAAATGGTGTACACACAGTTCAAAATGTTTTACGCGCTTCAAAATGTTTTAAGCGCTAAAAATCTTTTACGCGCTTTAAAATGTTCTACGAGCGTTAAGTTCTTGCCACACAGAGTTTGTAGACCTTGGTTGAAATCTCAAAGTCTTTGTAAGTCTGTGTACAATACAAGCCGTGACCTTGAACGGCAAACTTTCTTGTAGCATCTTTATTTCGTCAGGTACTACTGTGATTGCTGAAGGATCGAAGTATATTTCTGTACTTGCCATAGCATTATTGACCGACGTCAGATACTGAAGAATGTCACATCCCCGTAGAAGTTTGTTCCTATGTGCATGGTGAAACATGTAGCTCAGCATATAAGATCCAGTCTGATTTATACGATAAGCATACTTGCCTGAAATATCCATAAAATGTTTTCATAATTTTAAATAATTTATTGAGATGATGATATTTAAAACTTCACGCCTCCAGATGAGCCAAAATATTTCAAGAAAATCAATATTGAGAAAAATGTACTAACATTTTTAAGAAAGGTAAAAACATTGAAGATCCAAGTGATATTTTACATGTTATATGCGGTTAAAGACTGCCTTTGCAGTATTTTATCACCATATTTCTACTGTGTTACTAACACAGTAAGGGCTGTTTTTGCATATGTTGACCACTTGTTGGTAAACTTATTTTCACAAATACACAACACTGGCCAAATTAAACAATGAAATGTGTTGAAACATATGTCAATGAAATTTATCAGATTGGATATGGGCAATTTCCGTTTTTTAAAGACTGGGGGAAAAATAGCGTATTTGCAAATGGAATGGGCTGGTAATCTGACCTTTGGTGACAGCGGGAAAAGGCATGATATATTTCACATATTAGGATACAGGATACATACCAGGTACAGTAGGATACATAATAAGGCAATCGTCAGGGCACGGCACTGGTACAATATCATAGGCAGACTGTTTCATGACTCTTGGAGTTACAGGAGTTACAGGGTCTGTTTCAACAACCGGACTTTTCAGATAATCGTATGTCACCCGTCCCACAACAGGCATGCCATCAGTTGCTGTAAAAAGTCAAGGCAAGCATTATTTTTAGCTGGACAATAGACTTACTCAGGAATTAAGAATATTTGGGTTTTTCCCAGCTAATCTGTAGGCACTGTACAAACAAACTTTTACCGTTACAGCTTTCGAAAATAAGCACAACAGGTTTAATTACCTTTCGCACTTTAAGGCTATAAGAGTAAAAGCTTATTTGTATGTACAGATTACCTGGGAAAAAAACACTTTTTTCCAGAAAAAAGGGAAAAAAAAACACCAAGTAAGATTCAAACTCTCCACCACCTTCTCACCAACAAAGAACTAAATAACAATGCACTAGACCACCTAGCCAAAGAATTGATTCACTGAAACAGGTTTATAAGAGGTTGTAAGTTATGATAGTGTGTATGCAATTTTACCGGGCCAAACCTATAGCCAAGTGAAATTATAAAGCAGGGTAACCCAGTTGGGTCCTCAAAAAAAATTTCTTTGCCATCTGCACTTTGTGCTAATAGCATAAACCACAAAATGACACCTTAGTGCAGTAACTGGTTAATTTAATTAATTTAGAAATACTTTAACCTGTAACTGCACTAAGGTGATAACTTACAAAACATGCCTTTATCTTCAAAGTCTAACCCAATTTCTTCATGATAGGAATATCATATCAAAAATGGGTCAAAGACAGAAAAGGACGGGTTGCATTTGTACACAAAATATCATGAGGCTGTGATGTTATGTATAAAATTTACCATTTACCCATTAATGTCGAAAATTTAATTAAGTGGGTAAACAGGACATGGATGAACTACACACCTAAAATCGAATCCCACGGTATGGGACCATGTGTCAATGCTGTATGCCAAATATTAAGAGGCTGTGATAAGTAGTTGCTGAGAAAACTGTTACGAAAATTTCCTACCATTGACCATTAATGTCGAAAAATTTAACTAATTGGATAAACAGGAAGTGGATGAGCGACAGACCTGAAATCAAATCCCACAGTATGGGACCATGTGTCTATGCTGTATGCCAAATATCAAGAGGCTGTGATAAGTAGTTGCTGAGAAAACTGTTACGAAGATATTTTCCCCGCCCGCCCGCCGCCCAACATTCACCATACTATAACCTGGATTTGCACCAGTGCAACCCGGCCAAAAATTAACATAATAAAACTTACCATTCTCAGCCTCTTGGCTTAATTTTATTCCTGCCACTGAGTTAACCAGCTCTATAAAATCTTCGTCATGGTAACCGGCATCTGAGGGTTGTATGTTTGTAAGATTGGTATCCGAGATAGACACTTTAACATTGGTACCTGTATCATATGATCCCAAAATCCCATTTTTGTACGACAAATGACCTGACCTGCATGCCTGAAATTATAAATAATTATACATGCATTTTTATTACTATGAATCCCTTTTGGATCCTTATTTTTTGTTAGTGAACACAGGGCCATGATCTATACTAGTGATAAAGATAATCACTTCCCAGCATGGTATGGGACAAACTTTAACTGTTTTACTGACCTAATTCATAGACCTAATCCATTTCCTAAAATCCTGGAGCGGTTAAAAATGTGTATACTACACTACATATCTTAAATGGACTTGCAAATCAAAACCACTCATTATGTGTTGGGGAAATTTCAAAATAAATACGGACTGAATAGCAAACAGAACAGACCATGATCAGTTGGCATGGATGTGCACGGGTTGCAATTAATCACTACAACTAGGTTAAAGGTTAAAGAGAAAAATAACAGTTAAATTAGAACAAATATTACAATTATATGCCAGGTTATATCAATATCCCTTTAAGAAATAAAACTGTAGATCTAGTTTATATAATAAAATGTTCACCTGAAGGAAAAATAACTTTGGTTTCCCTTTCAAATAACTGTCTTTATTTTCTTGATCGTCAAATATTTTCAGGATTTCGTCCACGAAAATAAGTTTGTTATCACTACCGATTAAAGCATGACGCCAAACTGTTGAATCTTTAGGTAGGTACATGTACGATCCACCTTGCAGGGAGCTATCAAAGACCGGCTTCTCAAGTCCGTGAGAACTTATCACGAGCACAAAGCAGTCAGCGTCCAAATTAGCAAAAGACTTGCTTCCTGAAAATATTTATGTACAGAATGTTGTTTGTTTAAAATCCTAAAGTTTTAGATTAATAGAACCTATCATTGGGTTAGATAGAGGCTAGGAAGCTGTGATTGGTTCCGTCGTGAATGAGCCTGGCAAGTTCTCATCGGAACCAATTGCCCAAGGGTTGGGATTTACCTTTCCACTATCTAACCCACTGATTGATTATTTTCACTCACCTTGACACATAAGAAACTAAACAAAAAGGTCTGTTATACACCTTCTTATGCGCATTGGGTCTCCGCATCACTTCTATTTAGTAACATGTACAAACTTTGTTATCCAGTTTGTGAGAAAGAAATTTCTTCAAGGTCAAAGGTGACCGTGACATTGACCTCTGACCCAGAAGCATTAAAATTCCCTAAAAGTTTTTCTATGAGTTATTATTATCATAAAACTGACAATAGATTAACAATAATCTCAGAAAACACTTCAGTTAACAATATCGATCTTCTGGTATTATTCATTTGTTTTTCATGTAATTTAAAATGGCTATTTGTGTTTTAAAATGGTTACAAAATAGGTAGAGGTACAAATATGACTGACATGCTTGACAAAAAAGATATGCAAGATATATAATTCTAGTATATCATCACCTGCATGATAGTAGGGCTGTCCTTGATGGAAAATTAAATCCGGTGTTCAAACTTAAGGCAAGAACTAGAACTCCTCCAGTCAGATGTGTCGCCTTGTGAACAATGAAGTTTAGGAGAAATGGCCAGGACAAAAATGAAAAATAACAAAGGGCAATAACTAAAAAAATAATTAGTGCAGAGCAAAAAAAAAAATAAGTGCAGAGCAGCAGTTTCTGTGCACTGCACTTCTTATCAATAAGATCTATCATTCTATGATGTTTCAAGTCCATAGCTTTCATACTTGAGGAGAAATGACCTGGACAAAAATAAAGTAAGAAGATCAACAAAGGGCAATAACTCAAAAAATAAGAAATGCAGAGTATCAGTTCTTATGCACTGCACTTTTTCTTAATGAGACCTATCATCCTATGAAGTTTCAAGTCCATAACTTTCATACTTTCAGAGAAATGGCCTGGACAAAAATTAAGTATGAAAATTAACAAAGGGCCATAACTCAAAAATTAAGAAATGTAGGTACCTGTTCTTGTGCACTGCACTTCTTCTTAATGAGACCTATCAACCTATGAAGTTTCAAGTCCATAGCTTTTATACTTAAGGAGAAATGGCCCGGACAAAATTAAAGTATGAAAATAAATAAAAGGGCAATAACTCAAAAAATAAGAAATGCAGAGTACCTGTTCTTGTGCACTGCACTTCTTCTTAATGAGACCTATCATCCTATGAAGTTTCAAGTCCATGGCTTTTATACATTAGGAGAAATGGCCTGGACAAAATTAAAGTATGAAAATAAACAAAGGGCAATAACTCAAAAAATAAGAAATGCAGAGTACCTGTTGTTGTGCACTGCACTTCTTCTTAATGAGACCTATCATCCTATGAAGTTTCAAGTCCATGGTTTTTATACATTAGGAGAAATGGCTCAGACAAAAATAAAGTATGAAAATTAACAAAGGGCAATAACTCAAAAATTAGGAAGTGCAGAGTACCGGTTCTTGTGCACTGCACTTCTTCTTAATGAGATCTATCATCCTATGAAGTTTCAAGTCCATAGCTTTTTTATTTGAATAGAAATGGTCCGGACAAAATTAAAGTATGAAAATTAACAAAGGCAATAACTCAAAAAATAAGAATTGCAGAGTACCGGTCCTTGTGCACTGCACTTCGGGTTATTGAAAGAAGCATGCATACCAAGTTTGAAGTCAATCAGACTTATAGTGACTGAGTTATGCTCCGGACAAGCTTTAGGGGACGCCGACAACGGCGCCGCCGACACAGACGCCGCCGCCAACAAAAGTAACCCCTATATGTCACCTTTTCAAGGCGACACAAAAAGGCGACACAAAAAGGGAGATAGTTAAATTTTTATGGTTCGGCCGTGGGTATCCGACTATTGAATGATGTAAGAACAAATGAGCCGCGTCACGACAAAACCAACATAATGGGTTTGCGACAAGCATGGATCCAGACCAGCCTGCACATCCGCGCAGTCTCAGGATCCATGCTGTCCGCTTTCAGTTTCTTTACTTGTTATAGGGTTTGTAAGCGAACAGCATGGATCCTGATCAGACTGCACAGATGCGCAGGCTGGTCTGGATTCATGCTGGTCGCAAACCCATTATGTTGGTTTTGTCGTGGCACCGCTCATATACCTTTTCGAATAATATCCATCATATCTGCAGCAGTCACATTCATGTATGTTGTAACTAGAAAATCCAGAGACTGAAATAAAGCTTGCATCTTATTGGCATCTTGCCTTGCGCCAGGGCGATTTGTATCCCCTGCAAACTTTTCATTTGCAATGATAATAGCATGACCTCTAAAAAGATGATTCATGTCATATTCCTCCGAGTCATCCATTTTGATCTGCAGGGTTAAAGGTCAAGGTCACCAGTGCTAAAACTGTAATATTCTGTTGTCCTTAGGTTTAAGTTTCTTTGTCGGTGAAAATAATCTGGAATGGAAATAGGTAAAGTAAGGTTTCAAAACTGTATCAACCAAATGAAAGTTTCAAATATTTTCTTTCTCTATATTGTAATGCCATGCATGCAACCTTGTTATAACAAGCCCTGTCATAATGCTAACCTTCGATTTACGCTTAACAGTTATGTCAAATGACCCTCAGTAGCTGAACAGTTCAGTCAAATAACCCTCGACAGCTGAACAGGACCCTCGACAGCTGAATGGTTAAGTCAAATAGCCCTCGGCAGTTGAACAGATAGGTCAAATTGATATCACTCTGCATACATTATGCTTCTCATTATACATGTATTTGTTTTTATGTGAATATGCGATAATTGCAACATTATGTTTGTATATTTAGATCTACAGTGTAACCTCTGCAGATTAATAACCTTGTTACAACAACAGTATCAATCCTTCCCAAAGAAAAAATTTCTCTCTCTTAAGGGAGAATAAAAATATTTTATATCAATTTTCACACCCATGAATATCCACACCCATTAATGTAACAACCATGAATGTCCACACCGATGAATGGCCAATACCATGAATGTACATACCCATGAATGTTCACACCCATGAATGTCCACACCCATGAATGGCCATTCCCATAAATGTTCACATCCATGAATGTCCATACCCATGAATGTTCACACCAATGAATTTTTCATAACCATGAATGTCCAAACCCATGAATGTTCACATCCATGAATGTTCACATCCATGAATGTACACACCCATGAATGTCCATACCCATGAATGTTCACACCAATGAATTTTCCATAACCATGAATGTCCAAACCCATGAATGTTCACATCCATGAATATTCACACCCATGAATGTTCATACCCATGAATGTCCACACCCATGAATGTCCACACCCATGAATGTTCATACCCATGAATGTTCACACCCATGAATGTCCACACCCATGAATGGCCATTCCCATAAATGTTCACATCCATGAATGTACACACCCATGAATGTCCATACCCATGAATGTTCACACCAATGAATTTTTCATAACCATGAAACCGTGTAACCTCTGCAGATTAATAACCTTGTTACAACAACAGTATCAATCGTTCCCAAAGAAAAAATTTCTCTCTCTTAAGGGAGAATAAAAATATTTTATATCAATTTTCACACCCATGAATATCCACACCCATGAATGTAACAACCATGAATGTCCACACCGATGAATGGCCAATACCATGAATGTACATACCCATGAATGTTCACACCCATGAATGTCCACACCCATGAATGGCCATTCCCATAAATGTTCACATCCATGAATGTACACACCCATGAATGTCCATACTCATGAATGTTCACACCAATGAATGTTTTCATAACCATGAATGTCCAAACCCATGAATGTTCACATCCATGAATGTTCACACCCATGAATGTCCAGACCCATGAATGTCCACACACATGAATGTTCACACTCATGAATGTCCATTCCCATAAATGTTCACATCCATGAATGTACACACCCATGAATGTCCATACCCATGAATGTTCACACCAATGAATTTTCCATAACCATGAATGTCCAAACCCATGAATGTTCACATCCATGAATATTCACACCCATGAATGTTCATACCCATGAATGTCCACACCCATGAATGTCCACACCCATTAATGTTCACACCCATGAATGTTCATACCCATGAATGTTCACACCCAAGGATGTTCACACCCATGAATGTCCATTCCCATGAATATCCACACCCATTAATGTTCACAGTCATGAATGTTCACACCCATGAATGTTCATACCCATGAATGTTCACACCCATGAATGTCAACATGAGTAACCAATGCTTCAACTACTGGGGTGTACGTATATATTCAATGAGTCCTAGAATTAATACATGGCTGTTTTTGCTGTTTTTTTTAAACAAAAAAAGATAATTATTTATATGGAAGTGTCCCTTATTTAACACTCTAATCTGCTGGAACAAGAAGTGAATTGCCTCTGCAACCAGTCTGACAAGCTTCTAGACTGCCAGGGATTCAGTTTATGTATTTTGATGATCTATTGAAATCCCTTAAAGGCACATTATGCCTCAGAAACAAATAATTTTTTCCTTCTTTACAAATGGCAAAAATGAGTTTTATAATGTTTATACAACAGTTTAAGAGCATGTTGAATGCTTATCACTTATTATTATCATTATTGAATTTCTATGTACTGAATTGGGATTTCATTTGTCAAAAAAGAATCCGACGCCAATTGGCTTATACATGTATTTTTCTTATCTATACTGTTTACTTAGGACAATAGATAACCTATTGTTCGCAACAATTAACGCTGTAAAATGGCCGCATGAAGATAACGCAGTGTTAATCCCCAATGCCCTTTTTCCAAATTCTTATTAAGAAAATGATGCCCAATATCACAACATAAATAAAAAACCCTAAAGCAAAATGGGGAAATTTTTTCCAAGTTTAAAAACCCGGTACAAAAAAAAAACTGTCAACATTTTTTGGGTTTAAAAATGTTGCAGTACTGGTCACAAATAGATAAGTCAACCTCAACCAATTTTTTCAAAGCTTTTACTGTAAAAGTTTGTTTGTACCCTCATATTAGCTAGAAAAAACCCAAAATATTCTTAATTCCAGAGTATGCCTATTAAGCATTCATATATAACATCACAGTATATAAACAAGTCTTCTTCCTGTTATCGCAAAAATGTTCAAGTTATAGGCATAGTAATCGGCAAAAACATATGCTTGTAATCACAAGACAAACATTGGCTCACAAGACAGGGTACATATTGTGCAGAAAAGCTCACAAGACAGGGTACACATTGAACACATAGGCTCACAAGACAAGGTACACATTGAACACATAGGCTCACAAGACAGGGTACACATTGAACACATAGGCTCAAAAGACATTGGTACACATTGAACACATAGGCTCACAAGATAGGGTACACATTTGAACACATAGGTTCACAAGACAGTGTACACATTGAACACATAGGCTCAAAAGACATGGTACACATTGAACACATAGGCTCACAAGATAGGGTACACATTGAACACATAGGTTCACAAGACAGGGTACACATTGAACACATAGAATCACAAGACAGGGTACACATTGAACACATAGGCTCACAAGACAGGGTACACATTGAACACATAGGCTCACAAGACAGGGTACACATTGAACACATAGAATCACAAGACAGGGTACACATTGAACACATAGAATCACAAGGCAGGGTACACATTGAACACATAGGCTCAGTCCAAATTGAACACATAGACTCGCAAGACAGGGTACACATTGAACACATAGACTCACAAGACAGGGTACACATTGAACACATAGACTCACAAGACAGGGTACACATTGAACACAGGCTCACAAGACAGGGTACACATTGAACACATAGACTCACAAGACAGGGTACACATTGAACACATAGACTCACAAGACAGGGTACAAAAATGAACACATAGACTCACAAGACAGGGTACACATTGAACACATAGACTCACAAGACAGGGTACACATTGAACACATAGACTCACAAGACAGGGTACACATTGAACCACAAACAGGGTACACATTGAACACATAGACTCACAAGACAGGGTACAAATTGAACACATAGACTCACAAGACAGGGTACACATTGAACACATAGACTCACAAGACAGGTACACATTGAACACATATACTCACAAGACAGGGTACACATTGAACTCATAGACACAAGGCAGGGTACACATTGAACACAAAAACTCACAAGACAGGGTTCAGTGATTTAGTGTATATACCGTCTTACATGTATTAAATAATATGAAGAAAAAATAAACAAGTAAAAATTTTGTATACATGTAATTACATAATATTATGTTTGTTTTATTGCATTATTTGATTGCATACAAAATTATTTTGATTACAAAACATTTTCAAAGCAATTTCACTGAGATACAAAGATGATATTGGATGAGTGTATGTTCAATACTGAATTTATTGAATGAGTTGAAAAAAATTAAATTATGCCAGCCACGGGCGAATATAATGTTATTTTAGGCAACAAGTTTAACAAGCAATATCATAGTATTGCAAGCAATACAAAAGTCCCCTACTGGTTACAACCCCATAAGATATTTGTCAGCAACATTCTGAAGGGTAATTTTCTATTCCCCTTATGGTGGTCCAACTCGGCGCCACTATATGCACGCAAAACAAGTACTACCATCTTTGTATTTCAGAATAATTATAGAATACATGTACATCTTTATCCCAGGCAGAGGCAGAAATTAACAAAATGTCAATATATATGAGCCGCGCCACGACAAAACCAACATAATGGGTTTGCGACCAGCATGGATCCAGACCAGGATGGATCCAGACCAGCCTGCGTATTCCCGCAGTCAGATCAGGATCCATGCTGTTCGTTGTCATTTTCCCCACTTGTAATAGAGTTGATAAGCAAACAGCATGGATCCTGATCAGACTGCGCAGGCTGGTCTGGATCCATGCTGGTCGCAAACTCATTATGTTGGTTTTGTCGTGACGCGGCTCATATAATGTTATATATAATTATACCATATATGTAGCAGAGGAAGAAGCTTTATTCTTTCACAAACATCACAATACACTATAGACAAAGCCATTATATAACTCAAAAGTCACAAACAATTTTTTTGGTATATTTTTTTGCAATGTTATAAAAATACACTCGCACATATGTATAAAACAAACATTAATTTCTTTCAGATAAGTACTCTAAGCTTCATTCAAATAATAACATTATCAACAGTTCTTTTGCAGTTAAAGTCAAAAATCAAAGCAAATGGTGCTAATAGTTACTAAGGGAAGAAACTCTGGTAATCATAATTATAAAACTAGTCATATACTGATTTTTCCCCTTTTAAAAAATGTAAAAATTGAGCAAAGTTCGAAATAAATGCATTTTCACATGAGTTTCAGTCCAAACTGTCTTGAACAGGTCCCTCGATTGATCAATTATCTGTCTTTAAAAGTAAGGTGAAAACAACTTTAAAACTTGCGGCATGAATAAATGTAACTTCTTTATAGGACAAATGTAATAGTGATTCTTCTTTAACAAATGTGTCCATAATGATTTAATGTGTCTTAGATATTTTATAATTTCTTATAACTTTAAAGGCACGGTAACACACCTGAAACAAATACATTTTTCTTTCTTTAGAAAATGTATACCTGAGTAATATAAAATTTAAATAATGGTTTTAAAGCATATATTATATGCTTATTATCCAAAGAAAACTTATTCAGAAAGTGGTATTATTTATCATAAAGGTAGCAAAATGTAAACAAAGTGGTAATTTGACTTCCATACAAAATACCAAATCACTGTAACTGAAGCAAAAGTTGGTTCACATAATTAGCCAATGGGAATCTTTTTTGGAAACAACAACAAGACACACAAAAAAAGTTTTTAAGAAATAAAAATAAAAGTATTTAAAGTGCATAATAGGCCTTTAAGACAAAAAATCATATTTCAAAATTGTTCAGAGTATTAATATGTGTTTTAAAAACTCGTAAAAAAATTTACAACAATTATTCTTGTCACTAACAATCTATTATCACTTTTTGTTTTTGGTTTGTTTTTGTTTTTGTTTTTTTTTAAATATTTCATAGCATTGTTTGAAAAACAAAAGCAAGCAACTAAGTGTTTATCTTGAGAAAAATTATGCAAAACAATTTACATTTTGACAATATCTTTAACACATTTTTTAAACTATTATAAAGTATAATTTGCACAGATTCAGTATAGCATTTCAGGATAACAAACCCTAATACCTATTTGGTACACATGAACATATAAAAAAAAACGTAACACTGGCCTTGACTTTTTTTTGACAGTTTTTGTATATCTTCTTTAAAAAATACATTTTTGCTATGTAAGAGATTATCTTTCTCTTGTGACATCATGATTTGAGAAAAAAACAATAAAGCAGATTGCATTTATTTTCATTAGGGTCCGATATCCAAAATGATATTGCAGTTTAAAAAAACAACTTCTCAAACATCATCTTCAGATATGCCATTGGTGAATTCTTTGTCTTCGCTTCAAACATGACTTGTTTCTTCAACCTGTGTGAAACCACAGTTGTGACTTTAAAAGGCTTGTTCTTATCTAATTCCTCGGCCTCCTTCCCTTTGTAACCAGCCTTCCATGGGTCGAAACTAATTTCCACGCGTGCCATATCACCAGATACCAGTGTCAGGTATTGCAACAAGTTGCAGCCCCTCACTAGTTTCTTCAGATTCTCTTTTTTAATCATACAGTGTAATAACCGTGACCCTATCTTTTCACGGCGAAATGCTATTGCTCCTGAAAATTGAAAAATTTATATATTTGCCATGTAGTTCATAAACAAGTCAGTAATTTTCCCTCTTATATAACAGACTCTGAAAAAAAGGCCTCTTCCCAATTGTAATTTTCTTTAAAATCATGCAGTTTTCCCAAAAATCTGAACTTAAACCAGTTTTTTTACTTCCCAAATCAGCAGTATTAGTAATAATTTTTCAAAAATCAAGAGGCTAAGGCCTCTTACCAATAAAGTGAGAAAAATCACTGCAAGTTTTATCACATTAACCACGGCCCAGGAGTGTAATTAAACCATTTAATAACTAGAACTGCCACTGTCATGGCGTGAATACCCCCGCATACCACTTTGTCAGAATCAACAGTGGCCATTTAGAGCTCAAGGACAACATCCCTGCCAAATCTGAGGTTACAAAGCCAGTGCTATGTATTCTACATGCTTCAAATGTGAAAATGTCAAAATCAATAAACTGCGGACGGGCATTCTTAAGCAATTGAGGGGAAAAGCTTTTTTTAGTCGACCTTTGACCCAGTGACCCTCAAAATCAAAAGGGGTCACCTTATAGTCATGATCAACCTCCATGCCAAATATGAAGACTGTGGGTCAAAGGAATATGAAGTTAATGGGTGAACAATCTTTTTGAAGTCAAAGTCCATGTGACCTTGATCTTTGACCCAGTGACCTTAAAGTAAATAGGGGTCACCTACTAATCATAACTAACCTCCATGCCAAATATTAAGACTGTGGGTCAAAGGAATCTATAGTTATTGAGTGGACAAGCTTTTTTAGTCAAGGCCCCTGTGACCTTGACCTTTGAACCAGTGTAATAAAAATAAATAGGGGTCATCTACTTTATATCATGACTAACCTCCATGCCAAATATGAAGACTGTGGGTCAAAGGTTTCTTAAGTTATTGGGCCGACAAACTATTTGAAGTCAAAGCCCCTGTGACCTTGACCTTTGACCCAGTGACCTCAAAATCAAAAGGGGTCATTAACTAATCATGACTAACCTCCATGCCAAATATGAAGACTGAGGGTCAAAAGAATTTTAAGTTATTGGGCAGACAAGCTTTTTATAGTCAAGGCCCCTGTGACCTTGACCTTTGACCCAGTAAACTAAAAATCAATAGGGGTTATCTACTCGTCATGACTAACCTCCATGCCAAATATGAAGACTGTGGATCAAAGGTTTCTTAATTTAAAGGGTGGACAAACTTTTTAAAGTCAAAGTCCCTGTGACCTTGACCTTTGACCTCAAAATAAATAGGGGTCATCTACTCGTCATGACTAACCTTTGACCCAGTGACCTCAAAATTAATAGGGGTCTTCTACTCGTCATGACTAACCTCCATGCCAAATATGAAGACTGTGGGATAAAGGAATCTTAAGTTATTGGTCAGACAAGCTTTTTGAAGTCAAGGCCCCTATGACCTTGACCTTTGACCTGGTGACCTCAAAATCAATAGGGGTCATCTACTCGTCATGACTAACCTCCATGCCAAATATGAAGACTGTGGGTCAAAGGAATCTTAAGTCATTGGGCGGACAAGCTTTTTGAAGTCAAGGCCCCTGTGATCTTGAATCTGACCTGGCAACCTCAAAATCAATAGGGGTCATCTACTCGTCATGACTAACCTCCATGCCAAATATGAAGACTGTGGGTCAAAGGAATCTTAAGTTATTGGGCGGACAAGAAAAAACCGACAGACGCTCGACGGCCGGACAGACAAGCTGATTCCAGTATACCCCCCTTACAACTTTGTTGTGCGGGGGTATAAAATTGATATTACACTAGTGTTATAACACTTTCATGTGACGTCATTTGCAATATATATAAACATAGCATTAAAGCCTGCTAATGTTAGTATTACACTAAAGACGCGTCATTGAAAAATGATTCTTTTAAACAGTAACTGCTTACCATTCTTATTTATATTATGTGATAAATAGAATATGATATTGTGTAGATTCAATACTAATTTTATTAAAGTCATTGAATAAAACAATATTATGCTCACCAGAGGCTTGCATAATATTAATTTATTCAACTATTAAATTCAGTATTAAACCTACATCTATTCAATATCTTCTATTTGTTAAACAGGAATATCAAGGATTTTCTTAAAATAAAAAGATTTCTTTTGTAATTTGGGCTGAATGACAGAAACTGTTTGTTTTTGTTTGTTGTAGAGCTATTTTCTTTTCTTTTTTTTTTAAATAAAGGACATAATATAATATAATGGGATCACTCAATTGGCAGGCCTTTAGTCAGCATACAAATGACTTCCATTTAAGTCTGAAGTAAATGCATTGATAAACAAGAGTGCCATGATGGCCCTGAAATTGCTCACCTGTATATAGGCCCCTGGGCCAAGGCCAATTTTAAACAAGGGGCTTTTATTTGAACAAACTTGGTAGACACCCATTAGAAGCTGTTTCATAAAAAATATCTAAGCTCTAGGTCTTTGGGGTTTTTATTCATTGTAAGACGATTTTTTCAGTTTTTATTACATACATATAGGGAAAAACAAAGACCCCCCTGAGAGGGGCCAATTTTGACCCCAGGGCTTTTATTTGAACAAACTTGGTAGACACTCACTAGAAGATATTTCATGTTTAGTTTCTAAACTCTAGCTCTTTGGGTTTTTTATAAGAAGATTTTTAAAGTTTTTACTACATTGGTGTGTATTCACATATAAGGAATTAAATGACCCCTTGGGCACGGCCAATTTTAACCAAAGGGCCCTTATTTAAACAAACTTGGTAGACACCCATTAGCAGATTTTTCATGCTAAGTATCTTAGCTCTAGGTCTTTTGGGTTTTTAAAAGAAGATTTTTAAAGTTTTTCTATATACAAATAAGGGGAAAATCAATGACTCCCCAACCGGCGCATTTATTTGAACAAAGTTGGTAGACACTGACTAGTTGATGTTTCATGCCAAATATTTAAGCTCTAGCTCTTTCGGTTTTAAAAAAGAAGATATTTTAAGTTTTTCCTATCTGTTGCCATGGCAACCAGAGTTCTGCTTGGAATTCAATTCTTTGAACAATTTTTAAAAATAACTACCAAAAGAACATTCCTGTGAAGTTTGGATGAAATTGGCTTAGCGGTTTATGAGGAGATGTTGTTTAAAGTAAAAGTTTATGGACTGACCACGGACGGACGCCAGATGGCAAGCGATGACAAAAGCTCACTTTGTGAGCTGAAAAAAGTATGCCTCATAAGATGCTACATCACACCCAAAAAACCAGGATCTACGTCAAATGTCAAGGTCACATTTGAAGATCAAAGAAAAACTCTTTTCTGGAGCAAAACTTCTACATACAATAAGGGTTATTAAAATATTATTAATTTAAATATAACTTGTCACAAATGCAGATTACTGAGATGTAGTGTGGCATGCAAAATTCAAGTCCCTGAGCTCAAGATCTAAGTCACTCTTATAGGTCAAAGGTCAGATAAAAATATGAAAATGTGTGTATGGACAGTTAAGTAGCCTTGGACTGAATGATGATATGAAAAGTGTTAACATCATGAAACTGAGTCTTGCCGACATATTCAATGTCAATAGAAATAAGGTCAATTGTCACCAAAGATGATTATAATTTTCACATCATGAAACTGAGTCTTGCCGACATATTCAATGTCAATAGAAATAAGGTCAATTGTCACCAAAGATGATTATAATTTTCAAATGTTCAACACTTTGGCACATTATTATGCACAAATTCAGGTCCCTTTGACCAAGAGGTCACAAGCAGAGGTCCAGGTTTTGAAAGAAAGCAGTTAAATCAATATACCCACAATTGAATAAAATAAATCTTAAAAAATTTTAAATTATTATATCAATTTTATAGTTTTAAAAATATGAAAAGCATATCTCATAATCAAGGTGAAGTTCTGTACCTATATGTATTAAGCAATGTGCATCAGAATTTACCATTTGAGGCACGCTATGACAAAACCAACATAGTGTGCTTGCAACCAGCATGGATCCAGACCACTGAGCCTGTGCATTCACGCAGTCTGATCAGGATCCATGCTGTTTGCTATCTGTTTCTCAACTTGTGATAGGGTTGGTAAGTGAACAGCATGGATCCTGATCAGACTGCACGGATGCACAGGCTGGTCTGGATCCTAGCTGGTCGCAAACGCACTTTGGAAGTTTTGTCATGGCGCGGCTCATTTTTATCACCACATTGTTACCTAAAATGAAAATTTCAGCATATTCAGACAATGTACAGGTATTGTTTGTGAAAAGTACTGTCTAGGCTCAATAAAAATCACCTTCAAGTTTATTAAACAAGAGGGCCATGATGGCCCTTAGGCCGCTCACCTGTATATAGCCCCCCCCCCAACCCCCGGAGCGGGGCCAGTTTATACCCCAGGGCTTTTATTTGAACAAACTTGGAAGACACCCATTAGAAGATGTTTCTTGATGTTAAGTTTTTCTACACACATATAATGAAAAACAATGATCTTCCCCCCCCATCCCCCCTGCAGCAGGGCCAATTTTAACCCAAGGGCTTTTATTTGAACAAACTTGGTAGACACCCATAAGAAGATGTTTCATGCTAAACATCGAAGCTCTAGCTCATTGGGTTTTTTAAAAGAAGATTTTTAAGTTTTTGCTGTACACATACAGTTAAAAACAATGGCACCCCTGGGGCGGGGGCAGTTTTGACCCCAGGGCTTTTATTTGAACAAACTTTGTAGACACTTACTAGAAGATATTTCATGCTAAATATCTAAACTCTAGCTATTTGGGTTTTTTCAAAGAAGATTTTTAAGTTTTTGCTATACAAATATAAGGAAAGTCAATGACCCCCGGGGCGGGGCCAATTTTGAACACAGGGATTTTATCTGAACAAACTTTGTAGACACTTACTAGAAGATGTTTCATGCTTAATATCTAAACTCTAGCTATTTGGGTCTTTTCAAAGAAGATATTTTAAGTTTTTGCTATACACTTATAAGGGTAATCAATGACCCCCTGGGGCGGGGCCAATTTTGACCCCAGGACTTTTATTTGAACAAACTTGGTAGAGACCCATTAGAACATGTTTCATGCTAAATATCTTAGGTCTAGCTCTTTGAGTTCTTTAAAAGAAGATTTTTAAGCTTTTACTATATGCATATAGGGAAAATCAATGACCCCCTGGGGCGGGGCCAATTTTGACCCAAGGGCTTTTATTTGATCAAACTTGGTAGACAATCATTAGAAGATATTTTAAGTTTTTTCTTTCGGTTGCCATGGCAACAAAGAGTTCTGCATGGAATTAAATTCTTTGAACAATTTTTAAAGGTGACCACCAAAGGAACATTCCTGTGAAGTTTGGATGAAATTGGCTTAGTGGTTTATGAGGAGATGTCATTTAAAGTAAAAGTTTACGGACAGGTGGACACTGGACGGCCGGATGCCGGATGAAAAGCGATCACAAAAGCTCACCCTGTCACTTTGTGACAGGTGAGCTAAAAAACTACTGGCACATTTTTACCAGCATCCACAACAATTGTTCAATACAAGCACTGACTTGTTTCCATGCATCCAAAAATAAGTGCCAACCTCTCCACAGAAAAAAACTTTTGAATAGCCTTTGATATATTTTACAAAAAGACAAACTGCTTTAAGAAATAATACCTGGCATAGAAGGGTAAACAATGACACAGTCCTGCGGGCAGTTGATAGGGATTACATCATATGGTGTCATAGGGATCACACCTGTGTCTACCGAGTGGCCTGCATCTGCCTGATCCCCACTACCATGGTTACCAGATCCCTGTGCCTGATTCTCATTACCTCCTGCTATATCAATTATCTGACCAATTGCTTTGTCACCTCTTTCTGGAAGATTTGGTGCCAAAAGATTTACTTCCTGTGGCTGCAGCTGTTGTTGTTGTTGCTGAAGTTGTTGTTGTTGCTGCATCTGCTGTTGTTGTTGCTGAAGGTGCTGCTGTTGTTGTTGCAGCTGTTGTTGTTGTTGCAGCTGTTGTTGTTGTTCTTGCTGCTGCGAAAGTGGAGAAGGTGATCTTGGCATCATGCCAGAATCAGGGCTACCTTTGGCATCAGAGACATCTTCATCTGAGTCTTCAGTAATGACATCATCATAGGTCTCCTCTGCTTCATTCCATTCATCATGATCAGCACCTGAAAAACAGACAAGGATTTTTTTTATTCAGGATTTTGGGAACATGAGTCATACCCATGGCATTGGGAATTTCAGCAATGTTTTGTTTTAAATTGGGAAAAAAATGCATGACTGAAATTTTGCAGTGATTAAATGGATGCAAAGAAGCACTGTCTAGGATGGCATCTTCAAACATTAAAGATTTTAGAATTTGTTATTCAATATTTTTATTTTGTAACTTTCAAATGGGAATTTTTTCCTGTGGATTGGAAAAATAATATACTATTTTCAATAGCTGGTGCATGCCTCTAAACCAAGTTATTGTGTGTTAGAGCCCTACTCGGGTCAGTCATTTTTCCTTAAATGTAAACAATACAATGGTTGGTGCCAAGAAGCAAGCTCAAACAAGAGGGCCATGATGGCCCTAAGTCGCTCACCAGAAACAACTGCTTTTCAGTGTTGGAATGTCAATATATTCTGATATTAAATTTGAGCATAGAATGTGTTTAAACAATAATTTGAAGAAATGCCATGACCAAGGGATTTAAGCTTTAGCTTAAACGGGGTCAATCAAATTAATATGAGCAAACTTGATAAAAGACTACCTAAGAAAGCTACAAAGTTTGGTGAATATCAATTATTTCAGGAGGAAATGATGTTCGAAGGTTTTTTCTATTTTTAGCTTTAGTGGCCCCTAAAAGGGGCTAATCAAATTAATAAGAGCAAACTTGTTAAAAGACTACCCAAGAATGCTACAGACAAAGTTTGGTGATCTTCCATCAATTAATTCTGTAGAAATTGACATTTAAAGATATTTCTATTTTTAGCTTTTGCGGCACCTAAAAGGGACCAATCAAAATAATATTAGCAAACTTGATAAAAGACTACCCGAGAATGCTACCGACAAAGTTTGGTGATCATCCATCAATTAGTTCTGTAGAAGAAGATGTTTTAAGGTTTTTTCTATTTTTAGCCTAGAGACCCCTAAAAGGGGTCTATCAAAAATAATATTAGCAAACTTGATAAAAGACTACTCAAGAATGCTACAAAGTTTGGTGATCATCCATCAATTAGTTCTCTAGAAATAGACATTTAACAGTATTTCTATTTTTAGCTTTAGTGGCCCCTAAAAGGGGCCAATCAAATTCATATGAGCAAACTTGATATAAGACTACCTAAGAATGCTACAGACTAAGGATGTCATCTGGAGCCGAAACGGCCATCTGGATATCCGAATCAGACATCCGGATACATCCGGATGTTCGGATCGTTAATTGTTATATTCAAAGTTGGCTGATATGACATAACAATTTTTGGCGACCTTTTTCAAAGTGTAGTATTTTGTTTTACTTCCTTTTTAATTGAATGTTACGTACACGTATCAAATATTTTTCGTTATTGATTTGATTTATTCTATATAGAATATGACTAAATTTAGTGCGTATGGTACTTACGATTTCAAATGAAATGAAAATAAAATCTATCGCCGATTGTCTCAATTCCTTAATTAGTGTAATATACGCAATAACACTCGCTCACATTTGTGAAAACAAAAAAACATCTGTAAAAAAAATTAAATATAATGTTTCCATTGTTCAATAACACACGAGTCTATAACACGCATACAGTTTACACACGATGTCCTTTGACAGGTGTGTAACCAGTTTTTCAAAAGACTCTGCCATTCTTTGATGTTCACCAACATGTAGCCCTGGCTGTTTGATTCGAATCATCAAAGAAGTTGCCGAAACTTACATGAATTACAAACTTTTTAAGTGTTTATAAGTGAAAAAAAAACTGTGTAAAAAATTGTTTTTTTTTAATGCACATGTTTACTAAAGGAGAACAAGATTGCATTTGAGAAAAATGCTATGCCACCGCATTAATACAACACTAAATAGTAGTGTAGGAACAGATTTTCTTTTTCTATACGATTGAAGATTGTCATAATGCATAGATCCCTGACCTATCTAATTCTTATCATCAGATAAGTGGTTAAATCTATTGTTAATCCAATTAAAGATCAGAGTAGGAATATATCAATGCACTTGAGTCTGGTGAATTTGGTGGTGAAGGTCATATTTCACACAGCCTAAATATCATGACTACATCAAAGGACAACACAGTAAGACACTTTTTCAAAATCTAGGTCAGCTGATATCAAAGTTCACTTTACATCTAAATCTGTGCACATGGTTCAAATTTCATAGCTGTACATCAAAGGACAAGAAAGTAGGTCACATCATCAAAATCTAGGTCACCTGAATTACAACTTAAACTGTGCATATGGTCAAAATTCCATTGCTGTACATCAAAGGACAAGAAAGTAGGTCACTTTCCCCTTGGGCAAGGCAAAATTTTGACCCAAGGGTTTAGTTCAAAACAATCTTGATACAGGTCCACCAAACAACATTTCAAATCAAATATCTAATCTGTAGCTTTCTCCCATTCAGAAAACATTTCTTTTATTTTCTGTTTTTACTATGTGTACATAATGAGAATCACTGCCCCCGGGCAGGGCCAATTTTGACACCAAAAATTTGAACAACTTTGGTAGAGGACCTACAGATGATATTATATAGCAAACATCAAAGCTCTATGCCTTGTACCTTCAGACAAAAATATTTTTTTTTTACTATATGTACAAAATGAAAATCAATGACCCCTGGGGTGGAACCAATTTTGACCCCAGGGCTATAATTTGAACAATCCTGGTAGAGGTTCAAGCCTCATAAAGTCACATGCCATATATTTAACCTCTAGTCTTTGTCAATTCAGAGAAGAAGTTTTCAAGTTTTTACTTTATACATATAAGGAAAAGTATCGCCTCTGGGTTAGGGCAATTATAAACACTAGGGGCATAATTAAAACAACTTTAGTAGAGGACCCATAGATGATATTATATACCAAATATCAAAGCTCTAAGCCTTGTACCTTCAGACAAGAAGTTTTTTTTTACTATATGTACATAGTGAAAATCATTGACCCCTGTGCCAATTTTGACCCTGGGCTTTAATTTGTACAATTTTGTTCACTACACAATGTTTCATGCAAAATATCTTAACTTTAGCCTTTGTAAATTTAGAAAAGATGATACATATAAGGAAAACCTATGGCCCCGGGGCGGGGCTAATTTTGACACTAGAGGCAAAATTTGAACAACTTAGGGTGAGTACCTATCGATGATATCATTTAACAAATATTAAAGCTCTAAGCCTTGTACCTTCAGACAGTAAGATTTTTGACCATATGTATATATTGAAAATCAATGACCCCCGGGGCGGGGGCAATTTTGACCCCAGGGCTATAATTTGAACACTCTTGCTAGAGGTTCACTTCACAATGTTTCATGCAAAATATCTAACCTCTAGCTTTTGTCAATTGCTAGAATTTTTTTTTTAAGTTTTTACTATAAGTTTTACTAAATACAACCACCCAAGGCGCTGATTTTAATAAATGTTGTACACACTACCTAAGCGTTGGTAGTATGCGAATCTTAAAAAACGCCCCATCGAATGCCGTGTGATGTTGCGTCAAACTATGGAAATATCTAAAGCTCTAGGCCTTATGGCGCTCGCGTCCCTACGAGAGGGTATGCATAATTATTAATACACTTTTATATATATGGTCAATCATATTAGATGGAAAAATCAACTTGTAAACACACAACAAGAGGGAAGATTCTTCGTGTCTTCGAATTTTGACCACCAGAGCGCATAAAAAAATAGAAGATAATGCGTTGTAAGAGAGTCTAACCAGGTCAAATTGTATCTTATAGTCCACAAGAAGTAATCACTAAATTGCGACTAATGCTACACTATTTTAAGGTCTTTATTCAAGTAAACACAGAAGATATCAAATATTTGAATGACCTATATGGTCTAACATTAATAGAGTGTAACCAGTCAATAACCCTCTCGATGAGGCCTAGGTCGACTTTTTTGACCCCAGGGACCTATATAATGGTTTGATAATAGTAAAACTAAAAAAAAAACAAATTATCTTTGAGTCCTAAGGTGTCTAAGTCAGACAATGTAAACTTATGCAAATTATCTAAGACACTCTAGGCCTAATCTTGGAGTCATAATATAGCACTAAGTGAAGAACGGTTTTATTTTATATAATTTTTTCTTACTGCTGTTAACAATACCATCTTCTAGGAATGTTACTTACCCTATAGTTGAGTAATTCAAAATAAAAAGCCGCTGGAGTACCCTAAGAACTCCGCGCGTCCCGGCCGGCGGGTGTGGGGTCATGATCCAATCAGATAAACATGACTCCACAGATGGAGACATATAAATTTGAAACCTATATCTATTGTAAAGGAAATCTTCCTATACTACAAACCCATAGACCTATGCTATAAGGCTAAAAGATATTAGACATATACAATCATATACTCACTAGTCCTAGTTGTTCTAGCCCTACGCTCGGTCTAGAATAATTATGCCTCTGGGTATACAAATAATTGCCCTTATGCTCCTTGATAATCCTCATTTGTGATCCATGGACAACCAATTCTCTGCCATATATAGGTAACAGATAAATAATTCTTTGACATCTAAATATATTCTTGTAAAGACAACTTATGGCTCAAGCAATATAACAACATCGCATCGCAGATATGGCGAATTCTCTAACCGCCGTAAGTTTGGTTAATGAGTAATTAAGAGAACTTGATAGTCTGAACAGAAGCCTTACAATTATGCTACACTCTGCTATTCACCAGACCAAAGACACACACAAACAGGTGAATCGATATATGCCAAAACGGACAAAACCCATTAATATGACACCCCTAATATGCAGAATCCCAATCTAAGGTCGTAAAATATGTGTCTGTCAAGTTATAATCATAGTTTACTTACTGACAGCTAAAATCTGCTACATAATCCCAGCTCTCTATAGGAGTTTCGCAAACTTGATTATCTCCAAATATTAGTGATGTAAGTAAAAGAGTGAAACTTTTCCAACCAGTATTTACTTAATTTATTACACTCTTTTTACTACTTGCTAACCC